CGTCTCTTCCTGGTTTCTCAGCTCGTTACGAACCGACAAATTATCGGCGTGGAGTAGCGAACACACGGAGCATGGTAAAACGAAGATAGAGAGAGAGAGAGAGGGTCACGATGAGGAACAGCAGCACGAAATCTCGGATGCGCCAGTAACGCAGGCCTCCTCTCGTACTTTCACTTCCTTTCCCCCGATCAAGCTATCTCCGTCCCTCTCTTCCCCCCCCCCTTTTTCCGCCTCTTTCTCACCTTCCATCGTTCCCCTCTATCTCTCTCTATACTCTTTCGCTCCCTTCCCCGGAACATAGAACTACTTTTCCTTTCAAGCCCTTCGACTCTCATGGTATCAGCCTGAACGAACGTAGCATCCATCCATGAATCCTTCAGGATCCTCCTGTCGGCTGGTTTTATTCTCACCGTTCTGGAGACCCGCCGCGAAAATGCACACCGAAGCTATTGGTGCTTCCTGTCCCGTTGATTCCCGCGTAAACGTGTGGGATAAATAGTTCCGTCCAGCCGTGGCTATTGCCGCGCTCGATCACTGAACGGACCACGCGCATACGCGAATAGGAAGAAGCCAGAACACGACATGTGGCGGAAGAATGAAGAGAGCGAGTAAGCGCTAGCTGCGCGCGGCGGCTTGACCTCATCGCCGGTTCGCTCGACGTCGGGGCCCGTAGGAGCGCTGCGGTGGCGGGCCGCAGTCTGCGCGTGGAAGCGTGCTGGGGGCCTAGGAAAGGGTGAGAACGACGGGACCGGGCGGAGGACGGAGATAGTTGCGTATATTCTCGCGAGTAGATGGCCGCGACAATGGTGACGGTCGCGGCGATAGCGGTGAAGAGTATAGAAGAAGACGAGGCGTCGGGTGGGGGGTAAGGGGAGGTGGTCGAGGGGTGGGAATGTGTACGTAATGTAGAAGCAGACGGCGGGTTGGGGGGTGGAGGGATAGAGTCAGAGCGAGGGTGAATCGTTGTCGTGTGACGTCGAGCTTCGCGTGATCGACAAAGACGGAGAGGACGTTGACGTCAGGAACAACAACAACCAGAACAGACCGCGCTGATAAAGAAGACGAGGAAGACGACGGACGAACGCGTGGCGAGGAGTAAACGAGGGTAAGGGGGGAACAAGGAGACGAGGAGGACCGATGAATAGAGACAGCGCTCCGGCAAAGGAACGAGCGTGAAGGAGAACATGAAGAGGAAGAGACTGAAGGAAGGCTGCAGAAGGCGAGTTGTTGGTGGGCAGGGGAAACCCAGCGGGGGGAGGGGAGGGACGGAGGCGAGCCGAGATGATGCAGTTGTGCGTTTGCAAGGAAGGCGGAAGGAGGAACCGCGGAGGGAACCGGTCCCGGTCACTGGGCCACCAGCCGGCCGTCGAACCCGCCACACTGCCCCCTACCACCCCCTACCCCCTCCTTTTCCTACAGTGTCTCACTGTTTCTCTCTTCCTCTACTCTGTCCCTCCTTCCTTCTCCCTCTATATGTGTTCGCCTTTCCTCTCTGTCCTGTTTCTTTCGCCTGCCTGCTTCTGCCCTGCCGCCACCCCATCCCCCACCCCCTACGAAACCGTCCGGTGGTTCCCTCCTCGCGAACCTTTCTCGCCACTTCGAGCCTCAGCGACGACTTTGCTCGCTTCAAGTTCTTCAAACAATGTCAACTCGCGTGTAGCACCGGCGGGCCCGACCGCGCGCCGATAATGCGCGGCGGCTGCCCCATCGTGTTTACCGGCCGGAGGCTGTATGCTACCCGGGGACCCGTTCAACACCCGTCGCGTATCATGTTTTTCGTCGCGAGGGGTAAGGCAATTCGGTATGGCCGATGTCCCGTATCGGGACAGTTTGATAGTGCTCGCGATGGAAATTGGGGATTGGTTTGTTTTTTATTGAATTGGTTTCTGGGGACTTTCGTCGCTAGGTGATTGGGTATTTTGAGACTCTTGAGCTCAAAGGGACTGATATTTAGAGAAACTGGCACTTGATATCGCGCTGCCTAGGTTCTAATAAAATTTTGGAAATTCCTTGGGAAAGAAACCTGTGTCCCGAATTATATTTATTGAAAATTAGGTGTTATTTCGTTTTGGAATGACTTCACAGTGATTCGAGGGACATGGGGTCCAAATGATTGGGTATTTGGAGACTAGGACTTGATATCGCACTGCCTAGGTTCTAATAAAATTTTGGAAATTCCTTGGGAAAGAAACCTGTATCCCGAATTATATTTATTGAAAATTAGGTGTTATTTCCTTTTGGAATGACTTCACAGTGATTCGAGGTTACGTGATTGGGTATTCGGAGCCTGTTAACCCGAAGCGACTGTTATTTAGGGAAATTGGAACTCGATCCTCCCCTCGAAGCTCTACGGACATTTTGAAAATTCCTTAGAAAAGATAAATCCCAAGTCATATTCAAATTCCGATTGATCCCTACCGAATACATATTTCCGAATGACGCTCTCCTTCATTTTCTCACGGTGGTAGTGTGCAACTGTTTTCCCGCAGGGTAGCAATCGCAACAAACTAGCTAGGATAGGGACCACCTACGCAACGTCAGATCACCATTCGATACAAGGATAATTGCGATAATCTGTTGCGCCCTTTGGGGAGTCAATGATCGAACAAGATCGCGTCCACGGATAGATAGACCCGGGTGAAAAGGGAACATAGATAGAGAGAGACACAGGGACGAGGCGGACACGCTCGTTCGCGTGGAAAGAATGGAAGAATTAGTTTTGGATCGGGCTTTCGATCGTGAGAGAGCAGACGTAGGCAGGCAGCCGGCAAACGGAAGCTTGACTCGTACACGGTAATCTCGGCGTGATACGCCAAACATTTTCTCTTAATTAAGAAAGGACGTGGCCGTAATTAAGTTTCCCTTCCACGTTATTCACCCGCGCGAGTCCCAGACCTGAAGCGCTTCCTTACACCTATCACCCGTCAAAACACACAACAGAAGAGAATTCGTTCGATCCCTTTTTATTTCGAGTCGCTCTTAAAACTGGCCCGAAGACCCATTATCCAAGCCTCGATTTTACCATTCGCCAAAAGATAAATATGGTCAAGAGAAAAAATCACAGTGTAGCACTGTAATTATACCAGCCGTAAGGAAATAGAAGTTCTGGAGTATCATTCCGAGAAGCGATCCCCTTATCCTGCACAATGCTCTCGCCGTTTATCAACGTTTCGTAGAATCTATCGGGTTACTCCGGACGTGATAACAATTATCGGGCCTGCGGAGCGTTAATTTAGCAATCAGACTGATAATATTACAATCCTGCCAGGCTCGACTGCGAGGCTTGTAGCCCTCGTACGTTTTATCAGGACGGGCTGATCGCACTTCCTGATAGGCGAAATGGCGCTCACCTCTAACAATGTCGTGCCACGTTATCCTACAACGAAATGCAAGTTTATGACTGCGCCGTTTTGTCACTCAGGCGATCACCCAGATAGCAATGACGCCTCGAAGACGTCTTAAAGGCGTCTTACATGGAAATGTCCCCCTCTGATTTTGTTGAAACTTTGTATGTCTGTGAAGCAGTCAAAAATAAGGGATACGTATTCCATTTTATCTGCTGAAACGCGACTTTAATGGGTGGTACCACCCCTCGAAATTTTTTTATCAACAAATTATATTTTGGACAATTTGTTAGCACAGTATTATTTTATGTAAAAAACCGCAAACCTGATCTATTAGAAGTTTTCATGTATCTCTGGTTTTCGAGATAGTACAATTGGGTCGAAACTTCGACGGGTGGTTTCACCCCTTAAAATCGCGTATCAGCCGATAAAAAAAAATACGTATCCCCTATTTTTCACTGCTTAACAGACATACGAAGTTTCATCAAAATTGGAGGGGGACACTTTCGTGCCTTTCTTTCTCAGACTTAAAATAGTCGTAAAATGGACGTCTTCGAGGTGTCATGTGCAGTCTGGAAAGTTCGATGATTCTCTCTCCTCTGTCGAACAGCGCTTAGATTGCATTCCTTGGATAGGACGGGTCCGAGAGCGACAGGAACGCTGGCGCGCGTTTATTAGCGTATGTCGCTGTGTTTCTCAGTCCCGAACGGAATGCGTGTGATTTCCGATTTTTCAAGCGGTGTATTTTCCCGCCGCGGATCGGGGCCCCGTGAGAATTGCGCGGGGACGCGGCTGTGAGAAAACCGATGTGACTCGGGAGCCGAGTCGTATCGTTGCCGGTACCGAGCGCGGAAGTTGGGGGGAAAAAGGCTGTTAAGTCAGCCGAACACGCTTCTTGGCTCTAATGAATCGGACGGTGAACTTGCTCGATGACATAGGAACTTTGTGTTCTGTCGCGTGGAACGCGTCGAACAAGTATCATCGGGCGGTAACTAAACATGATTTATGTGTATTGTTTGGAGATAATAATACCTCGAGTCATCTTTCAGGGAAAAGGGTTGAATATTCACTCTCTGTTGTACCATCGGTACATTGAGGAGGAATTTACTTGACCGATTGCCAAGGTTTTTTTACTATTTTAATGGTAACTAGTTATCGATCGTCGGTACTGGTAGAATGTACCTTCTGACACAGACGAGATATTAGGATCGATCTGACATGCGATGTAATTTTCTGTCCCATGTTTCGGGGGCGTCAGAAGCCCCCGTACCATTTCAGAATTCCATTCCTTGCTAGCGAAACTGGAGCAATAATGTATGTATGTATTGCCATATGCAATCACGGGTGTGTGGATATTGGAAACTTTTATGTAGAGGTGCACTTTCATCAGCGTGATTTTCGTGGGACACGAAATCCCATAAGATGTTCGGTCTATTCTTATATCTCGTCTCTGCCTCTGCCGACTGATACAATCACTACAATACCAATTCTGGGTAAGTATTAATAACAGTTTTCTATCTTAACAGCTGTTTCTGACCCAGATGGTAAAGGCTTGAGCCTCTTAATCAACCCCTGTCGGATGACCGTGCATTTATAAAGCTATAGAATTCCTTCGCACGTAACTTTATTAGCACAACATTCCTCCAAAATCTATTATCAGTAACACACGTCTTTCTGGACATTCGGCTTGCAAATGGGTTCGACCACGGTCACAGGTTCTCCGCCGCATGGTGGACAGTCGCGCGGCATCACGCAGGGTTGGCAGGGTTGGTAGCAATTCGGCAGGCAACACGGATCGCAGGGACCACATGGGACTTCGATCTCGCAGGGTACAGGACAAGGTGGACAGGGTGGACAGGGTTGAAGGCATATGGGCTTGCAGTCCGTCTCGCAGACATACTGCATCTCGAAGGGTAGGTCGTTTCGGACTGTCAGGCACTTGCCTTGGATCAGGTAGCAATAGGACAGTGCCAGGACCGGGTTGCCGCTGTAGGGTAGGTGGTGTGGCTTCGGCAGATGTCCGCAAAGGTCGATATGCGTGTATTTTAACGGGGAACAGCTACAGGCTCCGTGCTGGAATCGATACCGTTGGAGAGGGGGTTAGAAGGAGGGTGGTTGGGGATAAACGAGGCTTTAAACGTCATTGTAATGGAAAAGCTTTTTAATCCGCCATTAACGCCTCTCGCGGTACTTGTGCTAAGCTGATCGCCCATAAAGAATTCATCGACCTATCGCGGGCTTGGGAAGAAAGTGTTGCGTAAAATGGCTGGGATAGATAGAGGGAAAGAAACCCAGCCGGTTATCCAGGTGTTCCATTGGAGGCGATCGCGTGAGCTGCTGAAATTGAATGATAAATTCGGATCGTGGTCTCGTCCACGGGTTAGGATAGAGCTCTGGGAACCTGGATCGTGGGGAAAAGGTACTGATTAGTATCGTCAGATATTTATTCCCTGGGTCGACATCTAGCACTTCCAGGATGGTTTCAATCAACCTATGGAATAAGGAACAATGAATTATCGATAGATTAATCATTGGATAAGAAGTCTAAGTCCTGCTGGGTTAGGTTCAATCAGTCTATCATTCCCCCGCAACGCTGAAAAGGAAGCCAGAATTGGAGCACCTGTTGGAGGATCGGGTACAATCGTCAGCAAACCCTACCACGGACGAGGTATATTGCGGCCTACTTTTCTGAGACGCTAGCGGCCCATTGCCATTTTAGTGTCACTAACCCCCGTTTTCATAATGTAGATTCATCTCATAATGTAGGGGTTATTAAAATCACAAATTTTTTAAGGTATCTGTTCTACAGATTTGGTGAGTTGTCGAATCCTATAAGGTAACAAGTTTACAGTCCTATACCTCGTCAGTGACCCTATATCGTCTAGTATTTTAAAAGTATTTTTGATTTAGTGCTGTAGTAAAAATATACCGACACTCGCCATAATGAAGGAAACTCTCCAGATAAGTTCCTCACGGTAATCCTTACCTGATCCAGACCAGAGGCCATGATGAGGAACGCTGACGGACCCTGATGTCCCCTTTCCGTCTTCCTGGTCCCTTTGTTCACCGATTGGAGAACGTCGTCGCCTTCTGTCAGACCCTCGTGGAAATTGAAGTCCTCTCTGCGTATCCTTGATATCTCGAACGGGTCGCCCATCGTCTCGCCGGATGCTTGAAGCTTCTCTGCGTTACTGACTAGCCGCGCCACCGCGTTGTCCATGGCGATCTGCAACCAGTGTCGTAAAAATGACGATTATTTTATTTAAAAGGATCATTAGACGTTTAGTTTAATGTTTTCTGACAAACTAAAAAAGATGCTGCCGTCCTCTATTGTTTAAATCAACGTCAAATTTAAGAGTGGAACAACACCCCGAGACGTTTAAAAATAGAAAATGTTTGGGAACCTTTTTTCTTAGGGAATTATTAACTAACTTCCATTTGTAACATTTTTATTTTCCAAAAATTGGAGAATATAGCTGGAAGCAGCGGGTACATCCTTCAGAAACTTGAGAGTATTCATTTAGTGATTACTAGACTGCGGATGTTTATTGAAATTTAAATTTGTTGGGGGTTAATCTACAGGAACTGGAATCAAACCAAGATCTGCCTACTTTAATCTCTATTTTATCAGATTCCAAAGAAAATAAACGCTTCGTCATAATTTAGCAAACTCAGTAGCAATGTACAGTAAATCCTCGATAACTGTTTGACGACTCTTCGACATTTTTACTGTACAGCAATTTCTACAAAATTGTCTCTGCTATAAATGCATAAAATCCGTAGTCTAGTGATTAACTATAAAAAAAAAATTCCCCAACTTTGCCTGTCTCCAGACGCCTGAAAGTATTTGACCCCTTTAAACACAATATTTTAACTCTTACGCGAGAGAACATGAAATATTGGACAGAAGTGCCTGCGTATTAATACATTCACTGCCTGGTGATCCTCACTCAGCACAAACGTGAAATGTCATACTAGAGGATCAACGTGAACGGACGATTCAGCGAGAACAGAATTCTTGCTGGTGACGGTGTTATTTTCAAGTTGAAGGTAACGCGACACTAACCGAGTATCCACGACCGGCCGTTAGCAGAGCGTGGCTGGTGAGCGTCGCGACGGTGAAGAGGTGGGGGTTAACCGAGCAAAGGGCCATTTCTTTGATGTGACAGAGGGCATCGGCCATCGCCATCCGACCCTCCGCGTCCGTATTCCCGACACGCACCCTGACCCCGGATTTCGCCGTGATCACCTCGTCGGAAACGTAAGAATTCTCGCCGATGCTGTTCCTCACCACGCACAAAGCCGCCACAGCTTTAACCGTCGGCGGTTGCAGTAAATTCACCACCTGCGAACACGTGATCTGTTTCTTGAGACACAGTTCCGGAATGATAGATCAGAGTTGGGCAGAATTTTATTCGAATAATTCACAATGAAAAGTAGCAGTTTCTAAGGGTGTCGTCCTGAGCATTAAACAATTAATGAGATTAAATAATTGTTCGACAAATGTCGATTCATGAAATTTTCTTTTCAAATTATCTTATAACGAGGATGGCAGAATTTCCAGGGGGAATATAAGTCGATGAGACGAGATCTCAGTGTGTTTTAAACATGCTGGATTATTTAAATATTTCTACAAAATTTTGACACAAGATTAATATCACAGTATAATTTAAGACGAGACAAGCCATCTCTATGAATCGAACGCATATATTTTCAAAGATTTATGACTTAAAAAACGAAATAAAGTGTGTCTGACTACGTACTGCCTTTTCCACTGTGGCAGTCAACGTATTAAATAGTAGATAATAGTAGAATCAACTACCTCAGCGATAAACAGCACTCTGATTATTAAAAAGTTACTACTAGAACAATGATACCTTTTTCTTTGAAATGTATCCAACTAATTCTGAATGACTATTTTTCCTTGAATTATGACGAACCAACTGTGAATCACTATTTTTTCTTGAACTATCTTTAACCAACTAGGAATGCTTTTTTTTCTCGAACTGTGTCTAACCAACTCTGCAGCATTATACTGATCAGAGTTGGTTAGAGTATCTGTTTGGAATAACTAGTATACGTTGAAAATATTTTTGCTAATAACTTTTCAATACAAAACTCAAAATGGTTAAAACTTCTCGAGGGTCACTCACAAAAATATCCTCAACAAAATATATCAAGGTCAAAATCATCACCCACTGCATCCTCAAGATGCACCCTCTAAACTTAACTGTTACCAAAAAATAAATAAATTGTCTGACGCAATTATCCGCCTACCCGTTCCCGAGTGATTATGCCGAATGATCGTTTAACGTTGATTTACGACGTGTGTCATATTAAAGTACCTGCATGAATCCAGCACAAGCGGCCGCCCCACATTTGTCCCTCGACATGCCGCACATATCGCCCTGGATCTTGAGGTCGACGCCGCCGGTGTCGTAAGTGACACCCTTTCCCACGAGCATCACCGTTTCCAGGACGCAGGCAGGATTAGGGGGCTCGTAGGTCAGGAAGATAATCCTGCCAGCGTGGCGGGGGATCATCGAGGCGGCTCGATTCACGCACGCGAACAACGGATACTCCTGTAGCAGGGTGTCCTGATCGGACACCACTTGCATCGTCACGTTCGAGCCGCAGAACAACTCCGCGAGATACTCCTCGACCCTCGGCGGTGCCATTCTCTCCGGGTCGGCTCCACCTGTCGATTAAAAAAATACTCAGGCGAGCATCGTGTATACCAGTCGGATACGAAAATCGGAGCTCTGAGTTGTCTCAGGTTCAGGTACGATTAAAGTAGACAATCGAAAAACTTTGGGTACCATTGGAGTAGGGAGTAGAGTTGAAGGTACCATTGGAGAACGAAAGCTAAGGATTTGAGGTACCATTATAGAAAGAAATTGAGAAACTTGTGGTTAGTTTAGAGTAAGAAGCCGAGAAGGTGAAGGTGCTATTAAAGTATAGAAGGGAAAAATTTGAGGTACCATTACAGGAAGAAGTTGAAGGACTTGAGGTTAGGGAACCAAAAATGTAAAGGTACCATTAGAGCATAGAACCGAAAAATTCGAGGTACCATTAGAGGGAGAAATTAAATAGCACCAGTTAGATTAATAAAATACACGAACAAAAGATTCTGGTTCCATTAAAATCCTGTACGGTAGATAGAAAATATGTCTGATCATAAACTGACACATACTACTTAATTTCGTAAATCATGTTTAAACGAAATTATTACAGTCACGTTTAGAGAATGTATGAATAGAAGATTGTTGATGAAGAGAGTACTCATTTACAGTGCATAGAACGCATGTCTGACCATGAACCGACCGATTCTACTTAACCGCGTGCCGTTCAAGCTTGGCGCTAAATTCCATACATTTTATAATTAACGGCTGTCCATATAAGTTCTAAATTCTACATCCTAAACTCTCAACAAAATTTGCTTTTCCATCTTTAAAAAATAAGTATTTCCTACATTAAGAACTGAAGTATAAACTGGTGAACCTGATGGAAGTTCCTATTCTACCCTAAAGTTTCGTGTGTTGTAAGACACCACGAGCTACTACCGCCACTTTATAATAATATTCGAATCGCAGAAACGAGTTTGCCATTCAGACTATTTAAATAGAACCTTCCTCGTTCACTTTTCAATTTATCCATGCTACTTTTATCCAATTTAAGACAAATTTTGGATCGTCGGAGGGACAATACACACGGGGATACAAATAAAATTTAGAATCATCAGAATCCTATCGAACGATTCCAAAACGTGGGACTGAATGTTAAGTACCGTTCCTTGAATCTTCCAATGGAACATTACCAGCCGTGTATTTCATAAATGAACGGTGTCCCGACGCGGGGCGTCGCGCGGTAATGCATGGTACACAACTTTTTCTCGTTTAATTAAACGCCCGAGATACTTGAGGAAACGTGGAAGCGGAACGGTACTGAAATTTACATTCCTCGGGCGAACGCGGAAAAACGTCAAACCGGCGGCCGTTGGGAACGAAAATGGGAGGGGAAAAGAATTCGGTCGACGTCCCCGTGGAAAATCTTCTGTCGCGGAATTATGGGATACCACGGAATTCCTCGGTTACTCAGAGAGGGCGATACGGACAATCTGTCTTCGTGTCCCGTTACAAAAGTGGAACAGTCACGTGTTACCAATTGGACAGTCACTGAATTACTAATGACTCGACAATGGCCCTGCTTATCATAATATTTAAGGAGGTATTCCTACTCGGAGAAATCATTCTTAAGCGAATTTAAAAACAAAGAATTAAGGGACCAAGCACCAACATTTTTGTGCAATCTTCTTTCACGTTAACAAATATTATTACACGTCTTTTGCAGCTTATCGCTCTGAATGGCTGCCACGATTAACGTTGATGTACTCATCGGAAAAACTCAACAATAATCTTCATCTAGATAAAAGTGGCTATCTTGTAAATTACTATGAATAAAAGAAATTTTTTTTTAAATAACATCAGCCATGTAAAACAGAAATTAAATTAGCAACTTCTTCAGCCATAAAAAAAAGTACTCCAGATATTGAAATAATAGTAATTCACAAGATAAAAAGACGTCTATTTAATATGTACATCAAAGCTGAAGTAGATTAGTCAGCTAATTATTGAGATATCGTGGCAGCCAATTCGGAGAACATGGTTTCGAGAAAAACGCGTTTACTCGTGCAGTGGTACACCGTTTTCCTACACGAGGTTCGAGAAACGATCGTTCAAGATACGTGTCCGGCTCCCGATCGATGTTTCGAGTCGCAGAGCATCAGCTCAATCCTCGAGCTTCACGCTCGGCCAGCTGCGACACGGGACGTAGTAAGTCGATGTGGTGGCCGCGGGCGATTTTTGCCTTTTCTCGTCCCATTTCCACGAGAAAAGTACGCGCGCAAGAACGGGAAAGGGGCGGCAACGGAGGGGGGCGTCTTTCCTCGGCGTCGCCGCTCGATAAAGCAACAGGAATCTCGGTCGTGGCAGGACTTACCGATGTCCCTCGCGACGTATCTTCCGCTTTCGAGCGCAGTGGCCAGCTTCACGACACCCTGAAGCTTCTTACTGCAAATCGGACTCCAGACTGCCAGCTGGCACGCCTTGTAGCAACGGTCAGGGCAGATCTCTCGCACCTCCAGAGGCTGGACACACGGTAGACATGGACTGACACACACACCTGATACGCTGAATGATACTTATACAGGGTGGGTAAATAAGGAATACTACAGGAGATCCTGGATTAGTGTTCGAAGGCCCTTGGCATTTATAAGGAGAGATTGCAAGGTGTAACATTTTTTGTTAATGAGGTTTAGCATAGAGTTTGGAATTCTGAAGACAATGATATTTGTTTGAACGGGATATGGCCAGTAGCTTATGGAATATTTAACAGTAGAACTACCGAACCCGTCAAAATGACGGATTCTAAATTGTTTACTTTACAATTGTTGAAATCCTATAGTATCGTAGTCCTACAATAGTTTATATATTTCAGGGGTGGTAGTTCTAGTGTTAATATTCGGTGGTTGAGGAGCCTTCGGACATTCATCGATAATTTACTGTATCTAAAATAACTTGTTACCTATTGATTGTAACAAAAAACGTTTCAATGAATTATATAGCATTTTAAGGGATGCATAGATACAATTTGATTTCATTGTATCTTATTTTCTTTTAGTTATCAAAGTGATCTCGAGTTTTTTCAAGGATGAAGTATGTTTTTTTCAGTACCATCAGTTGAATTCGTCCTATTAACAACATGCTACTAAAAAAAGGAAGAAGAAGATATAAAAAAAATCTCCATTAAAATACTATATAATTCATTAAAAAGTTTTCTGATACAATCAAGAGGTTACTAATTATTTCAGCTAGTACTTCTTAATAACTCACCCTGTGTGCTCATAAATATGAAACAATACATGCTACTAATCCATTTTCCAATGTAAAAAACCGTTGCCATATAGCTACAGGTGAAACGAAAGGTTAAATATATAATCAGGATAACGAAAAACACCTTGACTCCCTCTCCACCATACAAAAAGCAATCTACTTACGGCTCAAGCACACAAGAGCGAGAGAGAGAGGGATTTGTGAAACTGCAAACTAGAATAGAAAAATCGATTCGAAAGCTGTGACAGGGTTAAAGGTGAACACACGTTCCTGTCCGACCCCATGAGGTCACGGAAACGGCTCGAAAAGGGCACCTAGAAAGGACATCGAATTTTCAGGAATACATATTTCACGAGGCCCGAGAGAGACCAAGTTCTGGTCGAGTCCACGGTACGTATCGCGGCCGTCCCAGGCGAACCGAGGAGAGTTTCCGAACGCAGCTTCTTAGCGGCTTTGTTCCGCCACACAGAAAATATTAAAGCGGATAATCCGCTTAACGGATCACCAGTTCATAGGAGACGCACGCGCGGCGGGCCGGACTTTCGCGGAAGATGTATGTTTCATTCGAGGATCCCCCTCTCGTATATTAATTCCCTTAATATTTCACGCCGCTCCACGAGACTCTCGGCCCCTGTTCCTCTCTACTTCAGCTCCTTGAGCAACACTCGAATAATGTTACCGTTCCCCCTTGCTCTAAAATTATAACATATAACTTTATATCCCTTACCTGCTCTATCCCCATTTGTAAGTCTTTTAAGGCATCCGTATTTTAGCTTGTGTCTATTGTATTCAACGACTATTAATCGATTGAATTCGGCGGAAATTCCTTTGCCACTGATCGAAAGCTGCGAGATACTAATGTGTCAAAGCTCTTCCAATAACCCAATACCACATAAGCGCTCTAATATCCCCTATAAACACTCTATATCTATAATACTCAACAGATAATGCTCTATGCTCTAATTCTCTGATACTGTATAGAAACTCTATATCTGTAATACTCTATAGATAAGACTCCGTGCTCGATTGCTCTAATACTCTATGTGTGTATAGGTTCCTTAAGGCTCGATAATCGCAGTAATACCGTAGATCCAGCAGCGCCCACCACCGACCCTCAGGAAACCAATATCTTCGCCGATTATTGCCGTTGTAACAAAGAAGTCACCACCGTGTTCAACCCTCCAGGAAGCCTCTATCCGAACATTTGACATCGGTGAATCGAGCGTTCTTTTTGGTATAAAGAAACAACGAGGTCCGAGGACGTGAAAAAGCAAAACAATGTCCCTGTACAACGGGCGTTCGGGGGACCAGCCGGTTCAGATGGAAGCAGAAAGGGGATGGAAAAATAGCAGAGATGAAAAGAGGGAAAAACGGCGTCGCAGTGATCTCCGCAAGAATCACCCGCTAAGAATTCTCTTCCTCCATTGTCGACGATGGCGGTTCGATTCGTAATTTCAACGGCTTGTTCTCGTCTCAGGTTCTATTAAATTCAGGAAGATTTCGGGACTTTCGCAGTATGAATGGGTCGGGTGGGGACACTCTGAGTCGGTGGTTCACTATTGAAACTGTGATTACAATGAGTCCAGAGTACATAGAAGGAAGCATTTCTTTGGAACTGAAATGGCAAGCGTCGAGACGATTACGGAGCGGATGATTGTCATGTTGAAGATGGGACTTCTGTAAATCTAGCGAAGTACGATCACGAAATTTCGGGCAAGAGAATGATGTTTGGAGAAGAAGTTAAGTATTATCAATGTGGCACCATTTAGAGCGATTTTGTGTGGCATGTAGATACAGTAAATCCTTCATGAGTGCTCGAAGGCTCCTCGGCACTGAACATTAAATATTTCATAAACTAATGGTCATATGCGATTGAAATAAATATCAATGGCTTCAGAATTCCAAGCTCTATCACTGCACTATATTGCATTAAAAAGTTTACTATGCATGTTAGTCCCATAATTATGAAATAACGATTTAAGGGTCTGGGCGATAAATTCGTCAAGGTAAAACATACCTTAGTGTCTGAATACTATTATTGTGACTCAGATTAAGCTACAATTGTTAGCTGCAAAATGAGGAACCACCAGAATCATACATATAAAATAAAATCTTTAGTGCACCAATGACCATATTTAGCGTCCAACACTCTATAGCAAAATTACTAACAGTACTGAAAAGTTAATAAATATTACCATTCCGTTGAAGCAAATGTACTAATTATTCCGTCTATAATCAATTCTGTCGTCCAAATTAATTCCGTTCATCGATTACTCCCAGAATTATTAATGCGCAAACAAACGAGCTTTTAATAGTCCACATTGTCTCTGTTCCCCCATAAAGACATGTCGACCACAGACGTATGGTCAACGGGCGTCCGAAAGATTTTCACGTTACCAGAGACCTAATCTCATCGATCCTTTCCACGAAATTCGAATGCCCCGCGGCTCTAGAGGACCTGCCGACGCGAGGGTCGGTTTTCCCAATACACCAGGAAACCGATCAACCAGGATTATTCGCCTCGAATATAAAAATCGTGCGGCGTTTCGGTTCAACGACATCTTGAGTAAACAGTGGCCGGTGACAGGTATCAGCGGCGGGACGCGCGGTCAACAGAGCTATTAAACAACACCCGTCAGCGACAGCAGGAACGCAACCTGCGGCTGATGGATAAGTGTGTCTTACGAGCGTAGTAGATCTGGCCCGACTACGAGGATCCCATTGTTCATCGACGTCTTCGCAGCTGCAACCAAACACGGTTGATTTCACGCTGACACTGATGGACGGGGGCGGATACTGGACCGAATAACGGCCATCCATCCTATCGATATTAAAGGGGAAAAAATGCAGGGGACATAACAGGTACAACTTTTGGTGGAACAGTCTCTAGAGGATCGATTGTTATCTACTATGGAAAATTTAGAATAGAAACTGTCTATACTTTCGTCATCGGACTTTCTATACTTTCGTCATCTTGTTAGTATTATCCAGTGGAAGTATTTAGGTGTTGACATCCATTAGTCCGACTATTATTTTAGGACTAACTGACCCTCTAGTTATCATAGGAATCGGTAGGAAATTATACTTTGGTCCTCGAAGGTTAACAGGAGAACGAAATTCCTCCGGTTACTCTTGTCTGTATAAAACATGTTACAAAACATTATTTCGCATTAAATCCAACGTTGTTAAATTATTCAACCGTCTAACTACACCGTACAGTGAATCCTCGATGAGTGTTCGATGGCTCCCGACACTGAACACTAAATATTTCATAAACTAATGGTCACATCCAGCCGAAACAAATACCATTGTCTTCAGAATCCCAGGTCAATCACTGTGCCCAACCTTATTAAAAAATTACACCTAGAAACCTCTGCTTGTCGCAACCAAGGAGCCTCCGAGCACTCATCGAGGATTTACTGTATTCCAAACAAAGCAACAACCATCGTTCGCGATTCACCCCTCGATCCAAGGAACCACGTTCAAGATTTCCATCCTTTATCCTTCAAAGGATATATTTCCCTATTCGCTCTAGCCGCTGCAACTTTAAACCCTCCCCATGCACGAAGGATCTAGAGGAGGATAGGGGGAAGGGTGTGTGCATTTTCCACGATGAACAGCACATCACGATGGGGCTCTAGGGGGTCTCTCGGGGTGGTTCTCTCGTCTTGCCAAGAGTAACGGATGCCTCGCGTTCCTAAATTCTGACGGCCGGCGGGTCGACCTAATTAGCGGAATGCTCGAGGCGCAGCGGGGGTTGGCTCTCTGTGTTTGAGCCATCGACGTCGGTGGCTCGTTCCCTTCTTTCGTCCGGGGGTAGAACCCGCGCCGCTTCCTCCGTCGTTCAGGCCGCCTCAGTTTCCTCGCACCCTCCACCCCTCACGAATACAGGGCATCGTTTTCCAAATACCGGAAGACGCCCTCGGAGTTCCGACGCCGCGTAATCGGAACGCCCGCCGTTGAACGTCGCCTCTTCGTTTCGTCTCTTCCGTCGCGGGGCCGCGCTTCCGTCATATCCAACCCTCTCCTCCCGTTTCAACCCCCATCCCCCTTCGACACTTTCCCCCCTCTGCTGCCTTTCTACTAACTAGGGTGCGTCGTTTTTGAATTTTATTTTCCAAGGTAAGTGGCGCTATAAATGCATAAATTTCCTTAGTCATCATCTTCTAACCTTGCACACCTTCTAACCTTGTTCCAACCCCCAACCCCCTTCGATACTTTCCCCCCTCTGCTGCCTTTCTACTAACTAGGGTGCGTCGTTTTTGAATTTTATTTTCCAAGGTAAGAGGCGCTATAAGTGCATAAACCTCCGTAGTCATCACCTTCTAACCTTGTTTCAACCCCCAACCCCCTTCGATACTTTCCCCCCTCTGCTGCCTTTCTACTACCTAGGGTGCGTCGTTTTTGAATTTTATTTTCCAAGGTAAGAGGCGCTATAAGTGCATAAACCTCCGTAGTCATCACCTTCTAACCTTGTTTCAACCCCCAACCCCCTTCGATACTTTCCCCCCTCTGCTGCCTTTCTACTACCTAGGGTGCGTCGTTTTTGAATTTTATTTTCCAAGCTAAGAGGCGCTATAAATGCATAAACTTACTTAGTCATCATCTTCTAACCTTGCACATCTTCTAACCTTGTTTCAAGCCCCAACCCCCTTCGATACTTTCCCCCTTTACTGCCTTTCTACTACCTAGGGTGCGTCGTTTTTGAATTTTATTTTCCAAGGTAAGAGGCACTATAAATGCATAAACTTCCTTAGTCATCATCTTCTAACCTTGCACACCTTCTAACCTTGTTTCAACCCCCAACCCCCTTCGATACTTTCCCCCTCTACTGCCTTTCTACTACCTGGGCTGCGTCGCGAACTCTGTTTTGAATTTTATTTCCCAAGGTAAGAGGCGTTATAAATGCAAAATCTTTCGTACTCATCACTTTCTAACCTTGCACACCTTGAAAATCATTATACATTTTTTTCGCCTGGCGAATTGTCATTCTTTCTAGCATTCGTTCGTAGACGAGGGATGAAGATTATTACAGACGAAACGACTTTTCACTGGTGTAAATTCTCGTTAATGTGATGTCTGAGGATTAAGATGTAGGTGATTCCGAGGGGTCCACACCATGATTCAGGTCACTCTGGCCAGCGAGTCGGCCGATTAAACCGGATTGAAACATCGCGGGCTGAAATTCCTTTGAAACAAGGCCTTCTGTTCGCTCGGCCTAACCAAGCCTAACCCCGCGAGCGACAGTACCCGGTTCGCGTTGTCTCCGTTTGATTGGTTCGAAATGGCGGATCAGCGGCCACAATTCTCCCGACTATCTGGGAAACGCTTTAACCAGCCGTGTTGCCTACAATTGAGCGCCCCGCGCGTTTATCAGCGACCGCCGACACGTTTACTAATCTTCGACTGTTCCATTTTCCCCCCTGAGGACGATCTATCGGACATCTGATATTCCCTTTTGTTGCCATATTAAATTGTAATCGATAGAGAATCGATATTGCATTAGACGTATGGAACTGGCCTTTCGAAAAATGAAACGGGGAAAATATGCTATTTTTTTTTTAAATATATGTTTCATGATTTATTACGGTTTGGGGGCACTCACCACGTAGAGACCCTCCAGAGCGCCAAGAAGAGTCACCAGCTCGACGTTCTCGAACCGGACGTCCGGCAGAAGCGCCAGCAATGGACACCTGACGCCAGCCTTCAGTGCTCTGTCCAGAGAAACAAAAATAAGTGTCTATTGTGATCGTGAAATTGGTAACTTGTTCCTTTCGGGTCTGGGAAACTATCGATAACAATATAATCCAGGAGACTACAGACGTCAAGAAAATGATAAAGCAAGGGGTTAAAAACATATGTCAAGGTCATCGGAGCTGCATCCCCTAAACGTAATACGTTTATAAAAAAAATCAAGTAATATTCCGTTTCCCAGACTTCGTTCCTCAGTAGACGGAATCGAAATATCCTGATCGATATTGGGAAAAGACTGACATTAGGGTGGTAGTTATTCTTTCCTCTTCATCTCGCCGCGGTATTGCGGCTGTCACGCTTCGCGGGGGTGTCGGGAACGTATGCGCGGAATCCTCTGGTAACATCCCGACAGCCGACAGAGGATCTTCTATCTCCGTGTGGAATTTCATTTTTCGAGCGAATTTCGGCGGTGCCAAACTCGCCCGGAATTCCAGGGTCGCTGCCGTGATATTATGGTCGAGTTTGTGTGTGCGTTCGTGACCCACCTCCAAAGTTTCTATAATTATTCCACTTTCACCTTCCGTCAGATGAGAGCGTGAAGGGCAAGGATGTACTTGAAAATTTAATCACGAATAAATATTCATCGAAACCGCCCGATCGTTCGAGGCCCATCTCGAATTTATCACCGAATCAACCATCCCAATATCCCGCCATCATAAATAGACACGCTCGCGGTCCTCCGGTTTAAAACCAATATCTCCTATGAATCATTCAGACGGCAGCGCACACGGTCAACCCTTCCGCGATTCGGGGGTTAACTGTACCGTGCATGTATCTTATAAATATTCACCGGTCACCCGATTTATACGCGGGGACATCGATCACACGACCGATCGAGAACCCTCGAGTGCTGTACAAGCATGAGAAGCTTGTGCGATCGCGGCGCCACAATGGTAGATTGTTCGAAAGAGTGGGAGAAAAATCAGTATCGCTTGAAAACCTACTTTACTGTGCAAACAATAATAGTAGAGACTCAAATGCAATAGAATTAGATATTAAAACTACAATATCTTAACCTTGCTGTTCTCCTGATTTATTCTTCAGGTTTGTATCCTGTAGAAAAATTGTTTCAAATGAATACACACAGGACTGATAATTTATATGTTAGAAACGAATATTTAAAAACCTATCGAAATATATTTTTGATATCTACCCGAGGAAAATAGCAGTGTTTAACAACTGTTTAATCCGCTCATTGTCTTTGCCCATTATACAGGACATTAATTTTATCAATGGGTTTCTAATGGTGAAATATATTTCTGGTATTAGGTAAACCATTGATAAAATTACTATCCTGTACAGTGGACAAAGAGGGGGTTAATGTACACGGTAGTTGCACTTCGTTGTCATCGACTGTATTCGAAGTAGTATTGAATAGTATTGAAGTAGTAAAAAAATATTCAATACCATAGTATTGAAGTAGTAAAAAAATATTCAATACCATAGTATTGAAAGTATGCTCGAGCAGATGACGTCGAAACTCAGGGAACCGATTGAACTTTCCTGACCAAACGAAGACGAAATGTCCACAGAAAAAGTCATTCCTTCCCGCAAAAACTGGCGAAACCCATAAAATCCAACGTGCTCGTTAGCCGTCGATTCTTTTTTTCCAACGAATTCGTTTATTCGTCGTAGCAAACGCGACGATGGCCCGACATCTTTCGCAGAGATAGGCGAAATGTTTTTCCGCTCACGAGTATCGTGGAGTCGTCGACGCCCGTGGCGTTATCAAGCCCGCCGCCGAGTGAATCTCCTTCGTTATTCGAGAAACAAGCAATTCGGAGTTTCGTCTAATGACCCGCCGCGCCCCGATCCCCCACCAATTAAGCCGTGCAATTAATAAGCAATTACCGCGCGAATTACCCGTACCGTCCGGTCCCGTAGCGCTCGTTTTGTTCGCAAGTTGCGAGGACATAGCCGTGCGTGGAGAGCAGGACCACGTTGATTAATTGTAATTGGATAATGAATCGAGTGTTATTCGATGGATTAGATTGTATGGGCGACTGGATTCGAATGGTTCTTTGAATTCGTTGGTAATTTGGGGGAGAAGAGGCGAAAGGGTTAATGGAAGTATAGTAAATCCTTGATGAGTGTTCGAAAGCTCCTTGGCACTGAACATTAAATATTTTATAAAGTAATGGACATATGCGGATGAAACAAATATTATTTGATTCAGAATTTCACGCTCTATTATTGTGCGAAATTTTACTAAAGAGTCTGCGTTACACCTGCGAACCTCACCTTGCCGGAGCCTTAGAACACTCATCGAGGATTTATTGTATGGGAAGTAAAAAAGGAAACAGTCTCGTATTTGATATAGCTCGAAAGTTAGACTGTTTTCAATTCTGTACTGTTTGCAATTGTTACGAGGATTCTGTACTTGCTTCGGAGACATTTTGATTAGAGTAATATGTATACAGGGTCGACCACAAAACGTTATCAGCTTTGATTATTCTACTGCTGGCTGTTCGATCGATAATTCTTTTGGTTAATACCACACGATTCAAGGAGAGTTTTAAGATAATTGTATCAAATTTTTTGTCAAAGTTGTCAAAATCACCTTCAATTTTTTAATCGATCAATCTATAATTTTGTTACGCCCACCTTTTAGCATATACTCAGACGAATTTGGCAAGCATAATAACAAATATTTTGTCTTCTAAACCAAAGAAATAATAAGAACATACAATTTACATCAATTAAAACGATGTTCAAAAATGGTGTCCATCAACATGGAATACAATCGAGGTCTCACGCGATCAATGTCACAAAGTTACCACCCAAAGATGGAAGAAACGTGTAAAAAGCGACGAGGAACAAACGATAAGATGCAAATTGAATGTTGCAGAGTTCGACCCTTAAAAAGTCCCCACGAATTTCCCGAACAAGTAAATATTAATCTTCCGAGTAATAAATGAGATTCTAGGGGTGGGTGAAGCCCGAGAAACTTTCCCCGGTGCTCGATAAAAAAAGAAACGGACGATAAGTTCACGTCACCTTTGGATGCCCTTGGTGGCCGCCTCGGCGAAGCTTCGCACGTCGTGGTAGTCCATATTTAGGGGTCCGGTAGGACTGTAAACGAGCCTTTTCGCGGGCAAATTGATGGGCAGAACCGCTCCGATCACGCCCAGGGCGGAATCGATCTGTGCCGCGGCGTACAACACCGTGCGAAAGGGTTCTGGCTCGTCGAAACCGGGCGCGCATCCCGACACCAGGATTATGCCGTCGTAGTCGCAGCTGCAGATGTTCACCTCGATTTTCAGCTGACACGGCATCCATCTGAAATACCGATCGCGATACGTCGTCAACATAATCGACGATTTAATTGACACCCTGTTTCCGAGGGTCTTGAAATTGTGATTCCGCGAATGAATGAAAAAAAGTAAGGGTCTAAAAGTTTAGGGAATTGTAGTGCTTATCGAGAGGATTGAAAAGCGTCTGATAGGCCTCGAAATCTATCCTTTCGATGTGAAATGTAACTGATGATTTAATTAATACCCTGTTTCCGGGGGTCTTGAAATTGTGATTCCGCGAATGAATGAAAAAAAATAAGGGCCTAAAACTTTAGGGGATTGTTGTGCTTATCGAGAGGATTGAAAATCGTCTGATAGGCCTCGAAATCAATCCTTTCGATGTGAAATGTAACCGACGATTTAATTTACACTTAGTTTCTGGGAGTCTTGAAATTGTGATTCCACGAATGATTAAAAAAAAATAAGGGTCTAAAACTTTAGGGGATTGTTGTGCTTATCGAGACGATTGAAAATCGTCTGATAGGCCTCGAAATCAATCCTTTCGATGTGAAATGTAACCGACAATTTAATTGACACTGTTTCTGGGAGTCTTGAAATTGTGATTCCGCGAATGAATGAAAAAAAATAAGGGTCTAAAAGTTTAGGGAATTGTAGTGCTTATCGAGAAGATTGAAAAGCGTCTGATAGACCTCGAAATCAATCCTTTCGATGTGAAATTAAATGTATTTTTGAACGTTCGATATTGCGAGTTAGTCGGAAAAAAGGGTCTAGGTTAGATAGACAAATTCTATGCCCACCAGAAATAATTGTGCCCTATGTAAATAATTGATTAAATATGTTGTTCCCGATACGCAGATCTGTAGCCTTCTGTCGGACGATATCCGTGGCGATGAGATGAACCAGATGGGGGATTATAGATTACAGTTTCTCCTCTGGATGCAGGATTAACCCTTCACGCGATGGGATTTATCGCATGGTCCGAATTTACTTTACATGCATCTAGCGTTGGGGTTGCCTCTTGAACGAACCTTCGGTGTTTTCATGGTGAGATAGTGCACAGGTGATATTCACTCGAACAATCGAAATCGAATTCAAACTGCAACCTCTATATTTCCTACTACAGTCTTTTGTTTAACACAGGGTGGGTGGTGAATCGCCCGTCAGGCAATGGGATTCATAGTGTGGTCGGAATATAATTTACCAAGCTCGAGGTTTAGGATCTCTATTCCTGGAGAAATATACACTTTGTCTACAATGGAAATTAATTACGACCAGATTGCAGATGGTCCGTGTAGATGATAAATACTCAAGGAGTGTGCTGAGAAGATCTGAGGGGGCGTTCTAGTTATTATATTTTCAATTTAACTTTCTAAAATGAAAAGATTACACTCACAACTACACTTGGAAATTTCGATAACAGAGTTAATTCACCTGACAGGGGATTTCAATACAAAATATTGTGAAAAGGGAGCTGTGAGCTAAAAAACGTTGAGAAACTATGTTGTAAATTAATATTCCTTCGACAAAATATACGCTTATATTTTTCCATAAAGGTAATTTTTTGTTAAGTATAAAACAGAAAAATTATCCAACCTTTATTAGAAGTTTCATTTTATTGTGTGTCGACACGATACATAGAGAACTGCAAAAAATCATAGACACTTGCATGGTCGCCGTGTCTATCTTCGCAAAGTAGATAAAACGTTCAACGGCTTCCCGTCCAATAAACACTACAGATGAGAATAAAAGACGGGATATACGGTGGGCACCGGTATCGATGCGCCATCGACGGGCGGGTTACTAAGGGGGCAAAGAATACTTCATAGCTCCTCGGCTCCTCGACGGAACATTGACACAGCGAACGGACTTAAAAGCTGCGCGCCGGTGGAAAGTCGACGACGAAATCGACGTCGACGTTAAAACGATATCTTCCTCCCGGAGTTCGACGATTTCGATACGAATCTCGCGGAACATAAATCCCACAGTATTTCCTGAGTGCTCGTGGTTCCGCTCGCCTAAGTGAGCGCTCGCTCGAAACGATCGTGAGATTTACCACGAAACACGTTTCCGGTCCCGCGATTCGATCACCTCGGGACACCCCGACAATCATTTCGAACACGGTGATCGTCGGGGCAATATTGAGAGGAATTTTTCTGACGATCGAAACCCCCTCCAAGGAAATTACAAATTAAACTATGTAGCTGTGACAACTGTAAAAATAGTCACGGAAGATTCTTCGTGCTGAAATTAATGGAGAACGTGGAATGGAGGGTTAGGAGTATTAATTAGCAGTCTACTGTTTTTTTTTTTTAAATTCTGTACTCGTTCAGAGATCATTTAATTGAATATGCTACCCTAATGGTATTTGTTATTTTTGGTTACATTATCCTTCACCGTTTTGACAACAGAGAATTTAATCTGCATTGCTGTTATATTGAAACCATAGTGCATTACTGGACTGCAGAATTTTATGCAAATTCATAACTTGGTAAATCTTTACAATAAGGGAGCCACCTACTTCGATGATTTTTTAATATGTTATTATTTTGAAGGTTTTAGTTGGGCGTCGCCGTTTGTAGAAAAAGTTATTATCAAAACAATTTGGTGCCCTATTTTAGTAGTATTGATAAGTAAAATGACCGATGACGTAGACCTTGACATATGAAGTCAACGTCACCCTCCTGAGAGACCTTCAGAAACTGTCAGTTATCAAATGTTGTTTATTACAAAGTTATGAACAGAACAATGATACCTTTCTCTTGAACTCTCTAGCCAACTCTAAACCATTATACTGATCGGAATTGGTTAAAGTAACTGGTAGGAATAACTCAGAAAAATATCTTTAACAACACATATCAAGGTCATCAGAGCTGCATCCCCTAAACGTAACTTTTACCTCTCATTATTTCAAATGAGCCTAGCTCCCCATCTTCGTGGTATCGTAGTAATGCCTGGCAAAGATAGGCTTAAATACTAGTGAATTCATAAACTCTACACTCCACTGATAAGTAATAATATCTGTATCGATACTACACCTATTATTACAACGTCTACGTCCCATTCGCAGCCGTTCCATGGGGCAATCTGTTCAATATAATCGACAACCGGGACAAAAAAACGTAATAAATGCGGTTGGATACGCGGGAAGGATTTAATGCCACCGCCCATGGGACCGATTTACCAGGGAAACTTCCGGTCCCGCAAAAAAAAAAGGACAGGAAGCGCCCCATGGGTGTAAGCTCTGTTCCACAGGCCTGTGAAAATGTTCCCCGGAAAAGTTCCTCGCAAGAGGACGCAGCCCGACCCAGGGTCGCGTGGGGATCAGAGTCTTGCTGCGGAGACGAACGGGAATTCGTTCCGAAAAGGCCACCGAAACGTTCCCGCGGAATCTCGAAGTAATTTGCACGGAAACGAAATCTCCCCAATTCCACCCTCTCGAAAGTTTCGAACGAATTTCTGCTCGCTCGGAGAGACGCCACGCGTGTGTGTTGTTTCTTTCGAGGATTCTCTCGTCTAAAGGCTTGGTACGTCCTGAAAAATGGCATCGGGCACTTGAAAGTTTCGTTTCGCGTATCATGTGACGTGCTCCCGATGCACTGACACGTGCACACTTCCGGCGAAAAGTTCGGAATTTGGTCTGTAACGTGAGAAAATTTACGGATTTCCGTGGTAAATAAAACGGATTTAACGAAATTCCTATGATTTCGAGATCGTCAAGTGGTAAGTAGTTACGCGATGGTTGCCTTTTTAAGGCTGACGTTTAAATGTACGTCCTTCGGTTTGTATGCGGAGATTTATTCGATTTCTAAATGACCTGTCGAGACTTTCTAGCATTTCTTTTGAAATTTCTTGACATGCTGTCCGTACGCGCAATAAGATGTTACATGTCACGCTGGATGCACTGAAATGGAGTACCATTTGGCAATACTGGAATTGAAATATTTCTACAAAATTGTTGGCGTAAATAATTCCGTACTATTTTATAGAAAATATATATACATATACAGTATATTAAAAACTCACATTTGACCCTCATATGGTCTGTACGCGTTTACCTATAAAAAACTATCATCGAATGTTTCCCTCTCGAAACCGTTAAACTTTTATCCGTAAGATTTTTCGATACCAATAACGATTTCGAAGATTTAAATATGACTCGCCCTGTATAGGCTTTTTAACGTTCAGGCTTTATTACTTCGAAATCGTACCAGATCGGGCCTTTGTCAAACATTTCTAATCTGTATGCTTTGGCGAACCATTAATAAAGTAATTTCATTGTTGTTGAAGTAACTATTAATAAGTGACTAACTTCAAGAAATGTTTCGATAGTGTTTCCTATGTCGCGAACTGCGAGACAGGACAAGATACAGCGAACACTTTGGTATAGTTCCCCTTTGTAGCTAATGTAATGGATCTCTTAACAAAGGCACCAAGTTCCTAATTAATTTCTGTTCTTGTAAATTAGTCAGCGCGGATGTGAATTTGCATAAACGTGCAGCCCATAACAGAAGGAATACACGAAAACTTTAACGAGGCACGGGGTCGATTTAGCACGGTAGACAGTGAGTTCAGCGAATTTTGGAAAGCTCTGGAGATAGGATACTACACACGGTTCGGTGATATTTATCATCGGATAACGAGGTGCTCGCGATTCCTCGCACGAATAAGTCGAAATTGTAGAATAAATCTGTTTACGCGGGAGGTTCTGGTTGCCGGTGAAATCGAGCGATAAACTGACGCCAATCCCACTTGGTGCATTTCCAAACTAAAGTACATTACCGATTTTATTCCCTTAACAGTTACACCAAACATGAACGAGCAAATTTATTAAAGTAATTCTAGGAAAAGAACACGGTTCATTTATCAACCAGGATTAAGACTATATCATCACCTCTGAATGATTAAACAAATTCAAATGCTTATAGATATCGATACACAGAACCATGAATTAATCGGGAATGATCTAAGAAATTAATCTAAGAATTTTCTTCAGATCAGATATTATATATTCATTTATCCCTCGTGCACTGTTCAATATTGCATAATCACGCCTTGCATTAAACTTGGTCGAAGCTAAAATCGAATTAAGGAAATGTCCTTACTTGATCGTTAAATATGGAAGCACTGGTGTCCAACTGATTTTAAAATTCTCGTGATAAAATATATAATTCAAAATTGAAAACTGAATTTCGGTCAAATTTATCTGTACAGTGAAACGGGGGTTAATAAGACAATTCACTGACGCTCTTGTATATTCAAATACGCTATAGACACAACTGATTCAGATTCACTATAAACACAGAAAATTCAACATTTCACTATATCAGGTTATCCCGTATATTAGACGGCACTATACGATCTCCCTGAGGGCAGAATTAAAACAATATATTATATCACCATAAATGACGATCTTAAGGCGATTTTGTATCATTTGTTAATGACAGTAGATCAGACATCAGTTAACAATTTGACGAAGGAAATAACGTAACAATGGTCATCAATCTATAGAAATATCAAAAATGCTTCAAGAATATTCCCATAGGAATTACAACCTCTACACTCTACAGGTTACTATTAAAAGTAAAATGAAAAACTCTTACAAAACTGATTAACAAATTCACTAAGAAACGAAAACGCGACACTGATTAATTAATGTATATTCTCACCTGACGTGCGCAGCAGAAATACGTTGCACCTCCCTGAAGGTTAACCCAATACTAAAACTGACACCACCAAGCACATTCACGCGACCGCAAAATAAACAATGTCAGAATGACTGTACCGTTTGAATTTTCTAACCAACAAACGGAGACAATACCCAAAATCCTCACAATGTCACGAAGGGTACCGTGAGTCGATTTCGTGCCGTAAACCGAGGTAAAGTCCCGGATGACCTTTTTCACCGCGACCAACGAGTACACTGATCCACGTGGCCCATTGTCGCCGATTTCTACGCGCTTACCTGGACTCGACCGCCATGATGGACCACGTCGTGTCTTCGACGTTGTCCTAGAAAATCAGCCTCGGTTCGCGTCGGTGAACGTCGGAACGAATACGTGTTCCCCTCAATCGCGATATTGGAAACGTGAAAAACGAGGCGACGATACCCGACATCGAGGAAAAAAAAAAAAAGACACCGTGACTCGAAGGAAAAAAGAGCAGCGACTTATCGACGCTTGGTCCCCCCTCGCTTCGTGCTTCACGTTGGATCGATCTCTGCCCGCGAGAAGATCCGCCTTTCCGTTTTATCGCGCGACCCTTCTGATCACTGGAAACCACGCGATAGGCCCCCTTATAAAAGCCATTCACTGGTAACCTTCACAAGTACCGATCTCCCTGATAGCGGGGACTTTAAATGGCACCTTGAGAGGAATTGTGAACCAGAGATGGGACTCGATTCGTCGTTCAGAGTTCTGAATAACGAATAAAAAGTGAAATTAAAGTATTTCGACATTTTTAATTTGTAAAATGTGGAACATGTTCTACAGGGTGTCAAATGTAATGGGACTCACTGCTTTCGGCCATTTGCGCCGGTGCAAAAAAAGGGTTTGGATTGGACGATGGTATCAAGCGTTCTAGAAATACTTTTGAAAATATTTTCTTTATATAGCGAAATCAAGATCACCTTTGTTAATATAAATAGGACTGTATTTTTTTACTTGATAATTTTATTAAATTAGTACCAGGTTTAAAGAATGTATTTTCGGAACTTTTTTATCGTCGTTTGTAGAGCACACGGTAGGTCCATTAAAATACGGGTTATAATAACTTTTTGCTACATGGCTCCAAATAGTGAGTCGTGTTACGTGGGAAAATCTGTACAATGCGCACACTCGACGTGGTCCATATTTCATACTCCTGCACCTCGACAGGAACGTCACGATTGTAGTAAGAAGAAAATAAATTTTCTCGTACATTACGAAAAATAAAAAGAACACAACATATTTAATCATAAATCATGCAAAAGTAATATTTTTGAACATACCCTCACTGAAATATCGAACTATCCGACTCGCCTCGGAATGTTTTGAACACTTCCCAAAAGATAAATGTTTTCCTTTCCATGGCTGGTTTTCGACTGAAGCTCCAAAATCAATATACCTGTTCTTTAGTCACAGGGAAGAAATTGACAACATGGCAACCGGTAGATTTCATTGCTTCTCTGTAAAAATCTTGTGTTCCATGTTACTTGCCCTATATCATAATTTCCCAACCTTTAAAAACTTCTGAACCACCACCACCTTTTCAAAATTTTCTTTTGTTCATCGCCCACTTCGGATAAATTATCCCTATTAGCAAAATTCCCAAGTGCAGTACATAAAAAAAATAAAATAATTAATGTCCTGTTCCCAGATCACAATCACTTTTTTTTTATTTTCGACGCAAAATAAAAGATAAAAATCATCATCATTTTACGGATAACCCTCTGTTTCAATTTCAGTTTTCGAAACTTTCGCGACAGATCGTGTATCATCAACCGGGATATTCCAGTTCCGTTCTTCATACATCATTGTTCGTTCCCAGTGCTGTAAAAAAAAAAAATACGATCGACCGCGAATAAAATAAGATTTATTTCGTCGCACGAGGAAGTTTCGTCTAAGCGATTGGTACCGGTGGTCGGTTCGCGAACTCCCGTGGAAGTTCCGTGATTTTGACGAATGGCTGATTTCCAAACGGGTTCGGTAAACCGGCTTGAATTCGATTCCGCCGATCGCGACAGCAAATTTGCAAGTTTAAAGTTATCGAACCGCCCGAGACCGATTGATTTGCGGCGGCGAAACTTCTCCCCCGAAGTTTCCCCCCGTCTAACCTCGACAGTTGTCCGATTTAAATCGCTCGCGAGGCAGATTGATGGGAATTCGCGGTTCGCATATCCGATCGACGGTTAATCGACGTTTAATAAAATTCAACGATCTTCGAAGAAACCACGACGGGAGGAAGGGTGGGAAAGATCGTCTTGGCGTAAGCTTGAACGTGGATCATCCAAGCCTGAACGACGATGACACGCGATAACCGTTATCTAATCCATGAATCGATCCGATCGATGGCCCCGTGTCGTCATTAGACACGGAGGAATTCGACTGACGGATCTTCAGACGATAACGGAAAGATTTTTAATTGTCGACTATGCATGGAAAAAGTCGACTATAACTTTTTAATAACCAGTGATCGGCCGTTTAAACATTTTAAAGGTTCCTCAGGAGGGTGATCTTAATAACCTATGTCAAGATAATAGTAATCGAGTGTGGATGCTTTTCGTAAGATTAAAATTAATTAAAATCCTTGTCTGATATTGCAAAGAATCGAAACATTAAAAAACTAATTTCCACATTCAACTTTCGTTTGAAACATTTTTTTTATACAATTAGTCTATGAGTAAATTCGAGCGGTAGAATTAAGTGACTCACCCTGTGTATCGATCGAGTAAACGGGGTATCGGTAAGTATCCAGGAAAAAGGATATCTCGTAAATGGACGATAAATAAAGAGAAGCCAACGATCTTCAACGCAACACTTATAAAACGTGATGTATTCGTATGCAAAAAAAGAAAAGAAAAAAAAAATAAATATTCACAGATCATTTGTAATCTATATCGTTAACGTCGCTATCCGCTATATCGTTTTATAAAAATAAATCTCTACGCTACGGAAGTATAAAACTTATTTAATTACCGTATAAACGGAGAGGCCCCATTCGATCGATGGGGAACACACACGCACACACACACACACACCAGCGTATTTACCAACACACACCTAGTCGCACGTTTCCGTTATCGCGATTCTTAAACCGTTTATTAAGGATCCACATGGACCCATTAACATTCGCTTGATTTCCACTCACGATTCTATCGCGATTCAATACTTTCGTTACACGCTAACGCAGGGGGCGGATTCTGGGCTCTCGGGGGCCCTGAATGACATACGGAATCAACGACGTTCTCTCCCTATTTCTGCTAAACAGGGATCGAAATGTCAACTTATTCAACGTGCTTGTGCAATCGGAAGCTGCACGAACGAACGAATCTCGTTTCTTCCACGAACAGGAATTTCACGGAATGTAATTCGAAGTTACATCCTCGAATAGAAACGGGCTGAATTGGCCAATAGCGAAGTCAACGGGTTCTCGCGGAGGCAATCTTCGCGCTACTCAGACATCTACTTACTTCTTCGTTTCAATTGACTAGGAGATATAGGCTTTCTAGTACTCGGGCCAAGACTGACGCGTACCCTGGGATTATACGATTGTTATCGGTGGTAAGAGAATTGTAATTGTTGTATGTTGCCGTGAAAATGACAACTTTTGGCACTAGGTGAGCAAATGTTAGGTTGGCGGGATCATCAGTCGTCCCTTTAGTGTTATAGTATTTAATCTAATCCAGGAATTCGCAACCTATGACCTGCGGGGTTAATGTTAATCTATCATTTATATTTTCTCAACTGTTTCATGTTTATGTTTTATAATTTATTTTTATATTTTATACTTTATTTCCGGAACTCAAGCTGGTCATTTGAAATCATCAGATGGGTCATTTGGTGACCTGCGGGTCATAGGTTGCCGACGCCTGATTTAGTCGTTCTAGAAGCTTTGATCTGATTATTCGGAAATTATAGCAGGGACAACCTTTTAGTTGCCATCACGCTCTAACAGAGACGTTATTCGCTAACTACACGATAAAAATGCTGTTATATTGTTTAACGCATCCGATGTGACACGAAGTAAGCCAAAAGTTTGATTTTTGACTTATACCACTTCCAAAATTATCGGCAGAATTACCCATGTTAGTTGCAAAGACGCGTCAATGAAATTAGAGAAGCTGTTGATTCTTAACCCTGCTAGAGTCTTTGGGTCTACTTTGACTTAATCTTAATCTTAATTCCGTTTTTTCAAAAATGATCTCAGGTTTGTGAAATACCTAAGGAAATCCTTACTGATTTATGTCTTTCTATCCTCGTCATTATTTCGAACGCATAAGTAATTGCGGACCGTAGCAGGATTAAAAAGGGAAAAAGAATAATCGAAACCATTTGCAATATTCAATTACTTCAACAACAACCGAGTCGAATTGTGAAGATACATTCGATACTATATAACTCTACGACAGTAAATGCGTCACATTCACCGGAAAATCGTTCTACAATTAATATTAATGTACATATACGTTCTTCGCAGCTAAAGGGACACCAGACTCGAACGTCGACTAGTTTCTCACCAACCCGAATTATGACACCAATTCTCACGCGAAACGATCGTCAAATTACATTAAGCTTCCCAAACCCGACCTGTCCGCAACGTCGTCTCGAAATGAGCAACAGGCGACTTAACAGACTAAATTCGATATCAACCGCCCGACAAATTTGGCACAAAACTCCAAGAACTTCCAACGGCGCAGGTCCCGTCCCCCTCCGAGGGCCAGGTTCCGTCCCCCGACTTTAAAACAATGAGTATTACACGCGTGTGTACGTATAACGTACAGTCTCCGTATGGCAAATTTGCGACGATAAAAAGGGGAAAAAAGGCTCGCAAATGTCGCTCGAAGTTCCGCAAACTCGAAACTACCGTTTTCCTTAAGTGCTCCGCGTACGAAGTTCGATCTAGAAGGGTGGGTAGATGGGGGAACGGGGTGTCAGTCTCGTGACCCCGGGATAAAAATGGGAAGAAAACGACACGATGGGGAGCAGAGCGGATCGTGTCGACGATAGACGTAGCCAGCTCATCGAGATGCACTCTGATGCCCAATAAATGCCACCGTTTTTTTTTTTTTTTCGACTTCTGCATTTACCGGTCGCGATATGGGATCTCGAAGAACCGGCTGAGTCAGACTGATCCATCCTGGAATCGACACAACGCTATCGTTCCCTTTAAGTACACTGGTACACTTGAAGGTACCTCGAGTACCTTGAGTATATGCACGTGTGCGTGTCGAGCCACCTTCGAGACTATTCTTTGTACTGGCGTCTACCCTGTATCGTACTCGAACGCGTCAGGAGGTAACCGTGTGTTATAGTCTCGCCGAGCTATTAAGGGACAGATGGGAGGACGAGTGGGTAGAGTATGGCTATCAACATCAGGGCTAACGTAGCGAAGAGGGAGACCATGAAAACTGATGATCGGTCACGTGATATCTTTCGCAGACTAGCTCGACCAGACTGTGGATTTCTATGTCGATCTACAGCGCGATTCGAATGTGTAGTGCAGGGAGTTACATGGTTACACACTCCCTAGTGGAGAGAATGCTTTGGATCTCGAACATCTATGGGGACAGATTAAACTACTCTACACTTCGTGTCTCGAGACTGTGGTATCTAAAAGTAACCGTGAAACTCTCTAAAGTTTCGAAACTACAGTGGACTCTAATTATATTGCCACTACGCTTATTGCCACGCGAGGCACTCCCCCTTCACACGTACCTTCGCGCATAAGGTTCGCTCTCCCACTACGTTGCGTACGCCTGCGCACCAGCACGATTCAGGTTTCGCGCAGGCGCCGAGGCTACGCTGACGTAACTTAGCATGGAGGGGGCTCTCGACCCATTGCCATTTTACTCCTCTCCGACAATGGCAATATACTTCGAGGCCACTGTATAACGATTCAATATCATCGGGAATATCAAGGGAAATGGGGATCTACTAACTCACCGCTTCTTGAGTATATTCACAGAATCGTGAAGACCTTCCTACGTTATTCTAAAACGCTACCGAAAAATCTCCGGCTACAAAGGGGACCTCAATAGCCAACCCTCGAGTTCGAACGCGTTCACTCACCCACGCACCGATCGGTTCGCGAGTAACTGACACTACGTTGGCCAGCTACAATTGACGATCCACCTGTTCACCGCCGTTGATCGTTCGCGGATCACAACGTGTGTCATTCCCTCACAACCTGGTGCCCTTGTTCACCTCGTTGGTCACATCCAGCGAGACGGCCTTGAGAGCGTTCAGCTTCTCCATGTAATCGATGTTGATATGAAGCTTCCCGTTATCGTCCACGATCCCCTGAAGTGTCCCGGACTTTTCCACGCCGTTCGTTATCGAGGTCACCGAGGAGGATGATGTGGCGTTCGCCGTGTTGTGCTCGTTCTGAAGTCTGGTGCTGCTCGCGTACAGTCTTCGTCTACCTGGGAAGAATGTGGACATCTTCACCGCCAGGGGATGAAGCAGATGCTCCTCGTACATGTCCGTCTCTGTGTCAGCTGTGATCAAGCTGACGACGATCCCGACGATGACAGTGGTCATGCTGCCGATGAACGCATAGTACATGTAGCTGATGCTGTAGAGGTACTGCAGAGGTCCCAAGCTGGCAGATTCGTTGATCAGGTTGCTCATCAGTGGGCCAGTAGTACCGTTGATCGCTAGATTTGGGACAGAGTACATCTGGTTCCCTGGCTCGGTGACCCAAGGCGAGAACGTGTCATTATGACAGTTCTCGATGGACAAAGGTAACGTCTCGACCGTGTTGCTGATCGTCAAGTGACCGAACGTGATCCACAATGTGGTTATGTGACTGAAGATCATCCCAGCAGCTGCGCCCTTCCAATTCGCGCACGGTACCAACATAGCCAACAAGAAAACACCAAGCAACGGACCAGACGTCGCTGACGTCATCAACATAGAGGACTCGATCACGCCAGACAGCATAGCAACCAGAAAGCTGATTCCCACTATCAGCACGCCATAGATAACGCTGATCAGCTTGATCACGTGCAGCTGTTGTTTATCTTTGAGGTTCTTCAGCGAGGGTATCTGACCGAGAAAGTCCTCGAACGTGACCGTGGCCAACGAGTTCAGGTTCGAGACTGCCAATGTTAGAGCGCTGTTGAACAGAGTTGCCATCACCAGACCCAATAGACCGGGCATGTTCAGGAACTTGTCCTCCACGTAGAACGGCACGATTTCATCGAACTTGGAGATGTAACCGAGCGTCAGTGGATCGCAGTCCGCGTAGTTGGCGAAAATCACCATTCCGACCACCCAGGACAGGGAGAACAGGACGAAGATTATGGGCATGTTGGCCATCATTGTTCTGTAAACGAAAATATCTCAATTAGACCGGACAATTGTTGATTAACCCTTTGTACTCGAGGACTTTTTTGCTCGGGCGAACTAGCAACTTCAGACGATTTTGAAAACGATTTTGAACCTGTAGAAGCGCCTCTCGAGTGCAAAGGATGAATATTGCTTCAAAGAAAATTGATTTGAAATTATCGAATTTGGGACCTGGTGATCTATTGCTTCGTATCATATGTTATTTCAGACGATTTTGAAAACGATTTTGAACCTGTAGAAGCGCCTCTCGAGTGCATAGGATGAATATTGCTTTAAAGAAAATTGATTTGAAATTATCGAATTTGGGACCTGGTGATCTATTGCTTCGTATCATATGTTACTTCAGACGATTTTGAAAACGATTTTGAACTTGGAACGGCGCCTCTCGAGTGCACAGGGTTAATATTGCTTTAAAGAAAATTGATTCCAAATTATCGAATTTGGGACCTGGTGATCAATTGCTTCGTATAATGTTATTTTTTGTTGCAGTAGTTGTTATTAATAGGATGTTGCTCGTTTGGAAGGTCGGATAAAGGATTCAGCTACACGTTCAACCAGATTGTATGAACCCTCCAAGGGAGTTGCTCTCGCTGGTAACAACGCCGACCGTATGTCCTTTTTACATACTGGAGTTGATATACTGTTGACCTTACGCTGCGCCGACCGGCTGCCACCGAAAGTTTGGCAGTTCGCCATTTAACCCCGTCCCGTCCCGTGGGAGGAGGCATTGATTATGTGGTAACGGGAAGCACGGACGGAATTTCGCGAATCAAGAAGCGTTCGAGCATCACTTCCTTCGTAGACGTAACTATGCACGTATTTATTAGATCCATCGATAAGTAACTTGCTATTTTTTTTTCATAAAGGATTACAGTTCAAAGAAAACAATTCTTTTTTTTCAAGGGGATTCATTTTTTGAAAAACTGAATTTGTTAGAAGACTCAAGATACTGAAGACGTCAATGTTTGTACAGAAAAATAATTCTTCAATTTTTTCATAGATGGATTCATATTTTGAAGAACTAAATCTTTAAGAAAATCCGAATTACTGAAAACACACACGTCTATATGTATATAACCATACGAGAGCGCACAATTCTTTTAAAGGCTGGTTCCTACGAACGTTCTCTGAATTCTCGTCTTATTTCGTCAGATTGGAACACCATTTTACCGTCGTCACGTTACCGCTGAAGCTATTTCCAAGCGCGAAACAAAATGGCTGACACCGTTTCGCTTTCCGCGTTGAATATTTCATCTGAGATCACCTTGACACGCGTTTGTTATTTTTTTTTTTGTTTTTCTTTTTTTATGTCCGAAGCAATAAATCCGCGAAACGTGCTGCCGCGTGACACGATTGCCCGGCGATTTTCCGCGATTATAGTCTAATAAAACTCCATTTCGCGAGGACATTTTTATCACGACGTGCCGCGATTATATTCTAATACAAATCCATTCGACCGAAACATTTTTATTGCGACAGGACACGGCGCAGCAGTTTTCAAATTTACACTTTAAATAAACGTCCACGCGGGGCACGTTCCATTGCAACGTCGATATTTTAACCCTTCGTTTGAGGTTAATTGTAGGAGCACTCGAATTTCGAGTCAAATAATGGTCGGCACGTCGAGCCAAATCGAGCGTTTGAATTATTCGACCTACTTGGAATCGACGAACTGTTTAAAAAAAAGGCGAGCTACATCAAGAACTCAAATGAATTTTCAGCTCGAAAATTTTCGTATTACTCGAGTTACTCGAATATTTATCTATTTACTCGACAAACACTAATCTGACTGTAAGAAAGAAAAATGTAAGACCCTAATTTAATATTTCTTTTTCATTTTCGTTTCTTGAAATGATTTTTCTTCCCTTACAGTTCGATTGGTGTTTGATAGTAAATAGATAAATACTTGAGTAATTCGAGCAATTCAAATATTTACGAGTACCTGTAAAACTTCAATATATCATTTTTACAGACACGCTCAATAACTTTCATTAAAACAAAACAATACTTAGAGGTGGTGTATTTGACGGTTAGTTTGAGAGGTAAGTTTCTGGTGTCTCTCCCAATCGCACCTTAACTATAAAGATCATTTGACGTCACGATTCCAAAGGCTCAGTAAGCCCGTTAAACTCGCGGAAGCGATTGTACCCGACTGAATCACACTATCCCCACGATTCAAAGAACCCAAGTGGCGCGTCATCGATCGCGCTTGCACGCGTTCCGTCTGCACTGCTAATATGTAAATACACGTGTAAGGTACAACTGGTTTAATTTTTTGTAGGATGTTAGATAAATAATTACGAACAAGAAGATCAATTATCTTAAAATTCCATCAAACAATATTGTAGGCGAAAGGGTTAAGACGATCGATCATAGAGTAACGTGAATCCCCACAGAGATCGAGGAACAATCGACGAATCGTGGTTGTTTGTCCCGCGAAACCGATAAGCGGCATGCGCGGATGAAACCTGATTCGCCGGTCCCGTGCCGATCAGAAAATGAAAATAACGGGCCCCCGAGATAAGTGTTACCAATTTGCATAATGCTGCACGACCGGTTATCACGTGGCGTCACGCGACGCATGCCACTGGTTCATAATAATAACCGATAAGATAAACCGTGCTACGGCTGGCAAGAATTACGCGTCTCGTTACAGCGTGACGATGACTCACTTTTCCCAGTGGTGTGTCTGTGGGTCTGTCGATCCGCAGGATTGACCTTTTAATTGAAACGTAGCCCCGACGTGACATCTGGAGTCACGCGGTTAATATTAGGTACCGGGAAAACTGGATCGAAATAATTCGCTCGAACGAAGGATGAGATCGAATGGGAAACGTCTCGATCGAACAAGCTGGAATTTTCTTCGGGATCGCCCGCGGCAAGATTTTGTAGTGGCGTTTCGCCGACGGGGAAACAGTCGATTTCGTGTATACGATGGACTAAGTAAGTGATCGACGAACTTTCGTGACGGAGTTGTGTATGTACTCTCGCGAACATACTTGGCTGCTGCTAGGGGAAAAAGTGACGTAGGAAAAGGGCCTTCTATCAGGTGGTTAATTTATTTCGAGTACTGAAATAAATGTTAAATTGTAATATTTAAATGTAAATGTTAATTGTAAATGTTTAATTCTCAATAATAAGAGGTAGGGGCATGGTAGGAGGCCCTTTACCTACGTCACTTTTTCATCCAGTGAAAGCCAAATTTGCTCGTGAGTGGAACTGGCACTCGAACACGATTACAGTAACGCTAGAGGAATAAGGATGGTCAATTCTTAGGGGTGGTTTCTTCATGAATTCGACAAGAACAAGAGTCCACGGAGAGACTCGGAACAAAGCCAAGGACAGAAACGTCTGGGAATCTGTGACACATGCGAAGATGAATCACTTGTGTCGCACACGATCATCTTCTGTCAACATCATAGATAATACCGCAAGATAATTATTTACACTCTTCTCACGGAGAAAATTACACCTCGTTCGTAACCTACGACAGGATTCATCGGCTGTGGAATGTTTACCGAATTTGGGGTGTGTTTTGTTTTTGATATTTATAATGGAATAATTTTAAGAGGAGGATAGAGTTGATACTCACTTGACGACTTTCCGTTGACTGGTCATGCTGCAGTATCTCTGCACGAAGTTCTGCTGGCAGCCGAAAATTGACAAGCTCATGAACAGCTGACCCAACGTGGCAGACAGTGTAGTTACTCGTAGCGTTGGATCCAAATCCATGCTGAAAACGGAAATATTGCTACATTCCTGATAAAAGAAATCTACGAATATTTTTTTCGAGTCAAAACGATGATATTCATCGTTCGTTTCATTCCCATAAATCTGGTGCACTTTAACGTCTCTCGTTCATCTGTGCTAAAGGTGCAACGAATTTAAGTAATTTGACAGACAAGTGATTTTACCTATTACAACACTAATGGGACGATGAAAATTTTATATTTTATTTTTCAATGAATCTCCTACCGACGTATTTGTGAGATTTTTCTGATTAAAACAAGACCAAACACTGTATTATTTGCATTACATTTACTTACTGATATTGATTAAGTGCCATAAATAATCAGTAAGTAAATATGATCAAAATTATATCGTGTTTGGTGTCATTTTAATCAGAAAAATCTCACAAATACGACAGCAACAATATCATTGAAAAGAAAACCGCAAATAAAAAAATATCACTATTGCATTAATGGTGTGTCATCGACATCCTTTTCTACGCTCAGTGTTGATTCTATATTTCGAATCGATTCCTCAACTTAGTAAGTACCCGGGCTCCAGGCCCAATTTTCGGGTACTAATTCAAGTTTTACTGTACTCTATTCTGCACATTGGCACTTGTTATACAATAGTTTAATTCGTAACGTAGACATAGTATTTGGTACTCGAAGATAAAGAGAATTTCTAACAAATACAAAATCTGGAAGGGGGAATAGTGCTTCGAAAGGGTATTATAATAGTTCAAATTTCCGTGTAAACAGTGAATCGAACGAATCGATTGAGAATGAACGTTGTACTCCATACGACCGTTATCGAAACTCACGATTTGCCAGGTCGTGGATTTAGATGTTTACACTTACTTAAAGAAATCTAGTCGGCCACGCTCAGACGTCACGTTCCAGACCTTATCAGGGCCTATATCAGCGAAGCCACGAACGATAATCACTAGAGAGACACCAATCATCGTCAGACCTTGTATAACGTCCGAGAGGATGGCTGCCTTCAGTCCCCCCTGAAAAAGATCCAACAACCAATTACACACCATTTTAATAACATCAATTAAATCAACGCAATCGGTAGTCGATACATTTCTATTCGAACCGTGAAATTTCGAGTAACGAGCCATAATAAAACGTTAGCCTCGACGCTGTTACTTTCAAGTGCCGCGTTCCTTTCTGTGTTTACCGGAAATTTTACGATCACGCGTGTCGTATTTACGATCCTTTCGGCCGGATATGTGACTCTTTCGATGTCTGCATAATCGATGCCCCGTAAACGTGACCCCGGGAACGCGATTCAAGAGTCTCTGAACACGATAGAATATTCTTTTCGTTTAATTCGCCTTTATAGTCCATGTTACAAAGCCCAAAATCAGGGGAATAATCTGAACCCCAGACTCAGACTGTATTAAGTCCACTTTTTTTTTGAAAAATTAATTTAAAATGAAGAAATGGTAAATTCCATCACATAGGGGTCCCAATGAAATTTTCAGAATTTCTACATATCCATACTTGTCTTAAGTTCATTCTGTAGTTCAAACGTAGCGACTGCTTGAATTTTTACCGAAGGGTTCAAAAGTTATAAAGTTTCCATATCTTTGATTTGCTCACCTCTAAACTTTGGTAAGTGTAACTTAATATACTCTGGCTCTGGGATCCAGAAATACATTTGAACCACCAGAAGATTTATTAAAACGAAAACATGGTTAATCTCATACTGAAATCTTTATTTCCATTCGCGTTGTAAATTCGAATCTCCTAAAAACTTGTAAAATCCGCAAGCTAGTGATAACGATGACGAGTAATAAAATAAAAAAAACTGCTGTATAAACCAGCACAGTCGTAGATTTCATATGCATATAATCATTCATTTTGTTTATTATTGTACAAGATAATATTTAATCGTATTAAACAGTGTTTCATTTTAAAACGAACGTTATCAGTAGACTGCGGATTTTTTATAAAGGAAGTAATTTATATAAGGAAGAGCAAATATAGGAATTTCTTTCTTTTCTTAAGTATCATATTAGGTTCGTAATGAACTAGAAAACTGATTGGATCTGATGAAAGTTTTGTATTATATTGTATTTTACAGACCTCCATAGGCTATAGATGCATAAAATCCGCAGTCTAGTTATCAGAAACGGCGAGAATTTATACCTTCAAACGTGAATTCCATATCTTCAACAAAAAATTATGTCTCAGAATTTAACGATTCGAATAATGTATTTCAAACACGTCGAAGAGAATGAGAAATTGTTTTAATGTTTTTTTTCAGTAATATTCGACGTACCATGACGCTGAAGATGACCGATATAGTCGTGATCCCGACGATGCTCGCCCAATACGGCAGCCCGATCACTTTCAGCAGGCTCCGTATCACGTAGGAGAAGCTCGCGATGCATCTGACTAGCTTCGACTTGAACCTGGTGAATTAGCATAATTAGGTGAGGTCTTATTCGACGGCTCGGCCGGACATAATCGTTAAGCGTAAAGATGTTTTCAAGGCTCGACACGAAATCAAAGTCCGAACGTGAAGATCCACGGATCGAATTATTCAAGAAGAGACAGGATCTACTTTTTTTTCTTTGTTTCTTTGAGGTGAACACGGTTGGCATTTTTGCAGGAGAAAGCTCCCGATCCTCGATTTATACCGAAGCACAGTGTTTCAATTAATGCCAATTAGCCGAACAAAACTGATAATTTAGTTTTGTAAAAAAGAAGAATTGAATGAATATATTCTATAATATCTAGACAATAGGGAATAATTTAAGTTTATTGTTGGTATTACCTAAAAAATTAATTTGATTAATCATTTGTATTATTTTATGTTAAGTTTGCAGTAGAAAATAGACTGATGGTATTCAATAAACAGCGATAAACGCGGGGATTTTTATTACTAGTATTAGAATAGATTTAAAGCTTTTTTTTATCAACATTCCTTATGTGGGAATCTGTTAGTGTTAATAACAATGTTTTCAGTGATGCTCATTTCTGTTTCGTGATCGTAAGTTTTCGATATTTGGAGTTTTACGAAAGACCAACGACTTAATCAGTTGTATGGTTATATTGTAAAGAAATGCTACATTGAAGAAGTATGCGAAGAAGCAAAAAAAAAAATGTATCCAAATTAACGTATCCAATGTGTCGAATCGTGTAAACGAAAGATGGGGAAAAGTAGCTACAATCAGACATATTACAGATAAAATATAGAGACTGGCTTCGAGCTGAAGATTTTGTTATATTTGATAGTAGTGAAGAATAAAATAATCACACTATGATATACATAATTTATTTTTATTTTAAACCAAAAATATTTAATTAATACGTATTAAATAAAAAAAATAGTCAATTAATATTGAACATAAAACAAATAATTTTGTCCAGCTAACAACTGCAATCGAAATACTGTGCGAGGGTGACGAGATAGGCGGATAATGTAAAGCAGCTTCGATTTTTCGGCGAGGCTGGCGGGCGGTGAATTTAAATTTTTTCCCGTAATCCGTCACGCAGTGTCATTTTGATAGAATAACAGAGGGGAATGGAGGGATTTTCTTATGAGACTCGTGGTTTCGTTCGGTATTCCGCGAACAGAGATTATTAGATCCCTTCCCGAAGCCAATTTACGAAGCTTTTTCCCTCCGAAGTGAAAAAAGTTCGTGAACACCTCGGCGGATTTACTTTATTGAAAACGATGAATTCTCATTTGGTCGGAGATAAGATAATTGTTTCCACGGCGCAATCATCATATTTTCCGTCTGTGGCGCATTCATAGATTGGAGAATTGAAAAGCAATTTGCATATATTATTACGTGACCGGGACGTCGATGTTTCATCTAGTCTCGATTTATTTCTGTATCCAGAACGGCTGAAGAAAGAAACAGACCGGTGAGTCATTTAAACAGGTGTTTGGACGTATTGTCTCGATGCATTATTGAAGTGCCGTTTTCTGCCGATCGAGCGTGCACGCTCGTTCGATCAATTTCTCCTCACGCGATCGGAATGGCTTTGGTGCGCCTTTAATTGAAGCAAGAAGCGTTCCTGTTCTCGCGACTTCATCGTTTATGAGGAAATCAACTCTGTAATTAATTTTCTTACGAGTCGCGTTGCGTCAACTTTCCGCCAGTGAAACGGCATTTCATGGACCTCGAACTTCCACACGTCAGATTTAATGTATTCGAAAATATAACCGAATATAAATTAAGAGGTTGTATTCCTTTAGCTGTTAAATAAGTGAGAACATTAAACAATTTTTTTTCTATATGCAGAATTATTGTTTATTGTAAGATTGATATTTAAAAATCGGCTTCTACAATTACTAGTTCTTTTTGTCTACTGTAATACAAAGTTAAACAAAACTTGTTTCAGGTAATTTTACTAAGGGAATAACTATAATAAGAATAATTTTGCATACATACAAATTCTGTTAATTTTTTTTCTTATTCAACAGCTTGAAGGTATCTAACTCCTTAAATACGAAAATTCAGTACACTTTTGTTTCGTTTCTCAATCATTCAAATTTTTTGGGAGTAGAATAACGATGTTTGTCACATTAGGAAATATTACTTCGCCTCAAGATCCGTATTCTACCAAAGAAATAACATTATTGCCGCCCGAGATCGATAGCTTCTCAAACTCACAAGAGCAAACAGAACTACATAATACCTCGTAAAATTCGGTAAGAAATAATGATCACTGAACTACGGATTTCCTGCATTTACAGCCTATACGTCTCTATGAAATAAAATAAAAAACAAAACTTTCATCGAATCCAGCGAGTTATCTTAAGATAGAAACTAAATTTCTACAATTGCTTCAGTCTTTCTAAGTTACTTTACAAAGTTTTATCTAGCATAAAAATCCGCAGTCTATTCATTGCGCACCACTGAGCGTCGGTTGTCAGTGTTCGATCACGGCTAACGTCACCCGAAATGACAATTACCTCATGTCCAGGTACTGGTAGACGGACGTGATGCCCAGGCTGTAGTAAACCGGCACGAAAACAAAGCACACGATCGGGTAAGCGAGCAGCATCCCGTAGATCGTCTCCCACATCGCGCTGCCTCTGTAGTACAGCTCGGACGGGTATCCGAGAAAGGACCTGACGCCCAACGTGCCTCGTGCGATCGACAGCATCATGGCGCCCATGGACACGCTACCGGTGGCGAACACATAGTCCGCTTTCGTGGTCTCCTTCCGTCGTCCCCGTAACTTTTCCCATAACGGTATAACGAACGAGGCGATGATACAACCGACGAAGACCAGATAGTCCGTCACCATGGACGACGCGTCGATCGTCATCCTGGGCTCTCCTGCTTGTCCCTTCGTACCCTTTTCCGCGAGTTCTTCGTGGTACCGAGAAAACGTATTGTATCGATGTTAGACGAGGTTCGCGAACTGACCGTGATAGGCTTCGTGTTTGAATTCGTCCCACGCGAAATCCCAGACACGATCTATACCCCTTTCGTCGTGGATGCAAGGATACCTCTATACGTGATCACCACCCCTTTGGATAGTCCACCCAACCCCGTTCAACGATCTCGATTAAATCGTGAACCGTTCGTGGCCACGTAACTCGTCGACCGTTTGTCACAGTCTCTTTTATTATACCGTCACGAAATGATACCGGCCGTGTATGTCTGTCTTTGTCTCGACGTACGTATCTGTCCTTCTTGCGTGTAGGCGGTGCGTTACGCAATTTCTCGCGGCCCTACAAGCCCGTCTCCTCTTCTCGATACGATCGATGCGACGCGATCGGTGCGACGGCACGTACTGACTAACGCCGACCGTTAACCACTTCACGTTATTATGCTCGAGACAAGGAGCGAGACGGAGCTGCTTGGACAGATGGTGGGACAGAGATCGCGTTCGGTGACTATCTTCCGGAAAACGCGAGTGGAGGGGACACATTGGGGTTGCCGTTTGGAAGGGGCTAGACCCCAGGGAAGTCAGCTGGTGCCTGAGCTTTTTCCTTTTTTTTTTTCTTTCTTTACCGTCGTCGAACGTTTCTTCGCTTGTCCACGTTAACTCCGACTACTCTCGGTTCCACTCACTGGCTATATCAGGGATCGGGGTAAGTTTTTTCGATAATAAGAGCGATGTATAATAATTTTTATAGATTTTTGGATATTAAAGAGACGGAGAAGTAAAATGTTTTGATATTGACGCATATTGTACCGCTATAGATTAATCTTTTGTCGGTGGGAGGGTTGTTGCGTTTGCATACAACTTGGGGGTTCTGGAAATATTCAGATAATACTAGTTAACTTTTATTTGTTAAACTTTACATATGGGAAAAGCGATTTTTCACAATTCTTTTTGTAATTTACGAAAGACGTACTACTACGTCAACCATGCTCTCAGATTTTGTTTTTGGAAAGACGTACTACTGCGTCATACGACATCGAAGTGCTAATATAAAAGTTTAAGAAAACATGGCAATAAAACCCAATATTGTCAGAGGAACCGTAGTTTGCTGACCATTAGGCTAGATCGTGATTCGGTTCTATGAACGCTCGTTGTGGAGTAAATCAACCAGTGGAACGTATTCGTTGGATCACCCTGGAAGGTTCACGGTGCACCCAGCCCGCAAACGGGGGCATTGTTTCATGGGTATTAGACGGTTTGCAACGGGGATGACGTAGCTTATCTTCTGTTTACTCGGCGAATTGCTTTACGAGCGTCACGTCTCGAAGCGTTTTAAAGTTTCTTTATCGCGGATTTATTGGCACTCAGAACAGCAGATACACCTACTGGTCTTTTTTTAGACGGGACTCGGTGTTTTTTTATTGTAGTTTCGCTCTAGAGAGGGGCACATTAGAAAACGTAGGCGAATTGTATTTGTTGTACGTTCGTTTCTCGAGAAAACGTTCATTCAGCAGATTAGCCAACAAATTATGACGGATAAAGGTAGCTCGAGGACGAATCCTGATGGACGTTGGAAATATAATTATTTTCATACTTATGAGTACATTTTTTATAAATAAGTATGGCACCGTTTACAATATGTAAGGTCGATCAGGCTAGCATATCTGCGAGGTTAACGTAATCACCTGAAATGAAGGCTTTTGGTATTCTGATAAACTACTTGAGTGTAGTTACAGTTAAGTGTGCGGAATTTAACATATATTAATTTATACAGAAATGGTGCGTCTTAAGTCTTTATTTTGAACTGTAGTTTTCATAGCCCTCGATGTTTAATAGCGAATTTTTAAAGACACTCGGCCCTCCGTGGACCATTTTAGACCAAAGTGTGTCTTTCGAATTTTCAGAGTGGTATCGTGGCCCCAAGATAAACAGAATCCTCGTAGAGCAGAAAATTGAGGCCGTCATCGATCCTTTCTAGGACAAGCCAAGCCCAAACAAGAGGACACTACGAGTAGCTTCCACGGAAAGGAACATCTGCTCTCGCTGTTAGCCTGGCCAAACAATGCCCGATAAAACTTCCGAGATTACTCCCGATTTGCCTCGAATTTTAGACCTCTGCCCCTATCCGCACCCCTTCTGGTGAACTCGTCATTGTTTCGTCCAGGTCATTTCCGAAATTCAGGGAAAGCCGACAGTTCGGAAATTTTCCATTCGACCAGTCGATGACGTACCAACACGCAGAAACGTACGTTAATCGACAAAAAAAGAGTACGGGATGATCATTTGTATCATCTGCCTAGATGACAAACACATCACTGCGGGAACTGGAATCAAATATCGTGCAATTCATTCCCGTCTACATTGAACACACCTGCTTAACAATTTATTATGTTCCGTGGATAAGGTAAAACCACTGATCAAGATCTAATTATCAATTCATACCTTATTAGAAACAGAATATTTTCAAGGAGCTTTATTATCACGGTTCATTGGTTATTATCGCTTTTTTATAACATTAACAGGCCATTCAATTTTCAATTGTGCGCGAAAATATTTTGTTAATTCTGTAGACTGAGAAATTTACAGGGAATATTAGTTGAATTATGTAAGGTCCTATAACTGTCATCTAGACCTAACCTAACTTATTATTATTATATTTCTGTGAGGCGAGCTCACTTACCAAACTTTTTCTGGGAACACTAGCATATCAGAATCTAGATCTGACCTATTATAATTGTGTTTCTGCGGGACAGAGGATCGCTGTCTTAACCTAACTTACCAAGGTTTTCCTGTTAATGGTAGCAAATTAGGATCTAGACCTAATCCAACTTGCTATAATTGTGTTCCTGCGAAGCAAGGGTTCAGTGCCATGACCTAACACAACAAACTTCTTCTTTCGACAGTAGTTAATCAGGATCTAAACCTAACCTAACCTATGATTACAATGACTCTGCGAGCCAAGAAACCGGCGCCCTAACCTAACTTAACAAGCTTGACTTTCTGACACTAGCAAATCAGGTTTTAAGCCATTGCAAGATAATGTGTTTCGTTTCCATTACTCACAGTAGCCGATCTGATACTGTTTACGATCTAATTAATGTACACGCAGGGGCGTACATATCTTCGAGCTCTCCCCGTTTCCGCCATTACAATGGGAAATCAATCGTGGCTATTTACCGTGCTGCGTTTAACCTATTTCTGCTCGGCCTATCGACCCAATGTTTTGTACGTATCCAACGGGGGAATATTTCGCGGGTGAAACCAGCCGAGGCAATATTCCACGCCGTGTACCGAGCAAATAAACCCGCACACCAAGCTTCTTTCGTCGAATCTGCGGGTTCCCTGAATTTCGATAACAGTATGGAGTCTTCATTTCTGCGTGAACCGTCTCCCGCGGCCAGAAGATAAGTTCGGTAACGGTTATCGGCGAGGATAAACTTTTCCGCAATCTAGGATTCTTTTGAGTTCGGCTCCCCCTCGAGGAGAATCGATCGGAATCGGGATTAGGTTAGTCTTCACTAGCTTTTGCCTCGAAGTGGCTGTGAGTGTTAGGAAAGCTGATTTTCAGAGGACATGGAATCGATCTACTTGGCCCTTTATGCATTTTTTTTTTTAGTACATCTTTATATATTGCAGTAGTTGTATTGATAACGTTTCAAAAAAAAAAAATTGTATTGTGACGTTTCATTGAAAAACTGATTATTTGTAATCTTTCCGTACCCGGGGATTCCAACTGATTCTGCTTTACTTATCATAGCTTGACGATTAATTTTCACTGTTGGAGAGATAGCTGTATCATCCATGGATAGGCGACATTGTAATCAATGTGTTAAAGATCACGTTCCTCTTCTTTTTATTCTCTACGATAACTTCACAATGGACGTTGAAATTTTTAACGGCGCAGTGTCGAATCGCTGGGGAATTAGAACGTTGTACGTATCAATCATTCAAGCTTCCTAGTCAATACTAATTTAGACCAGTTAATTCTAGAATTAACTGTATGCTGTTAGTTAAAACTAGTTATTATTCGAAACATTACGGAAGTTAATGTATTTCGATTTTGTCCTACTCGGAACTTTTAAAACATAACAAAAGAAACGCATTCCTTTGCACCTTTCTCAAGATCGTCCTGTGCCCCCAGCGGCGCAAGATACGAGGATTACGAGTACGTGACGAATTATGTAAACAGCCGATGCTTGTGCATACCACAGCCGGATTCATCTGCCACAGTTCAGCTGATACGCTGGCCTCATAAATAAGGCACGTGACACCGCCAGCCACTTGTTTTCTGCGTGCCTATCGAAACTCGTTTACCATGGGGCAATTAATTCTCATAAATCATCGAGAAAGAAAGACAGATAGAAACTGGGGGCTGATTTTTGCTCGTAGCGAAAGAGAACGCGATGCAGTGCAACACTTTTTTTTTCCAGAATCTCGACCATCAGTTTTCCCCTACAATCGCGGATGAGAGATTTCCAGCGACGATACATTCCTAATTGAGATGGATACACATTGTACGAGGCTGTAAGCATTCTTTAAGGAACGCAATCTTTTTAAATCTATAATGATTAGAACGGATGGTGCCCAGCCATAGATTCGAGAAAATGGTGTCTTCAGACAGGTGATCCAATATTTCTAGCAGTTCTCTCGAACTGAACCACTTGAAAACTCGGATCAACACAGACCTAGGAATATCGATATTTTCGTATTTTCACGGAGTATTTTCAGAGACGTTTCAATATTGCTGCGAACTCTCCATACTGATGCAGCGACCTTGAAACTACCACCTCAGTTCCATGGAGAAGGGTTTCTCGGCTTTAATCGCGTCCGTACGCCTATCGTCCCATCCCTATCCTCCGTTGAAATCACAGGGGAAAGGAACGAGCTACTTGTGCTACCTAAGCAGCAGACGCAGACACGATGGAAAAGCACGGTGTGGCGCCGCAGTCAATTTCGTTCATTCAGTCGCTCGTCTGCACAGGTACTGTCAAGTGCCTGGCGCTTCCTCCCTTCACAAGGGTTCAGACGACTGCCTTCTACTTACGATACACGCCGCATATAGACGCGGCGCCGACTCATGGAAATTCCCCTGAAAAACATTAATCCGTTGCCGTCTGGCTCGACCCTCTCGCGAACATTCTGCGTGCGACTGCGTCTCGCCTGGGATTGGAATAGGGGAGGAGCCTATTAGTTTAGACATGTCGATGAACCGATTCCGGGTGATCCGAGCTTGATTGATTGCCGAATTTTCTGGAAGCTTAGATTTCTCTTTGGGAACTGGAACATTGTCTAGGAATTACTTGCAACTTACTGATTTCAATGTTAAGCTTTTGGACGAACAGGTTCTGGTCAACTATAGCTCGACAGATTACCGAATATTCTGGAAGATCAAAAACTCGTCGCAGGGGCTAGAATGACACACCTGACGAACAGATATGCCAAGTTTGAACTAAATCGGTCAATTAGTTTTTAAGTTATCGATTAAGAAAAAGTAGCTGCGAGAAAAACACGATTAAAGTTCCAAGTACTGTTCCAGAGCATAAAAAGAGAAATGTTTCATACTCACACCTAATCACCTATTCCGGGTCATATAAAACACCTTCCTAAAAAAATTGTTGCAAATTGCAAAAAAAGAAAAAATAGCCCCTTAAGAGTTCCCACTAGTATTTTTGAGTTACCAAATTGAATTAGATCACAAACAATTTAAATGCAGCACTATCCCATTGTTCTCCACATTTTCTAATCTCTTACCACTCTGTACCCTGTGTCTCGGACCCGTTCATGGAAGCTAAAGAAAAAAGGAAGAAACAATGCAAGCGTTACAATGCCCGAATCGTTGACGATAGACACACGGGGGCTGCGTTTTAGGGATGTCAGCCAGCGTGACACCGTCAGCGGCGGGTAAACGCGACCGCGTAGCTCATTGTGACCGTGCACTTTTCGGCACAATAGGAGGACGGCCTTCCGCGTTCGCCGCTTCCGTTGTGCTCGCGATTTTGCGAAGGTGCCCTTCGACACCTCCGCGCAAGATTTCTTTTCTTGCGCCTTTTGTTCATCCGCACTCTTACATTTCGCGGGAAGACAAGAGACTCGTAACTTTGCGCTCCGATAGCGACGTCGCGACGCGAGTCTGACAGTGCAGGCTTTTGTTACGAGTTTACGCCTGGACGCAACTAATTGCAAGCTTAACGATCTGTTTTTCGAGTTAACCGACGATAGCGTTAAATTTGCAGGCATGGACGTTGCCAGGACGTTGTTAAGAAGTTGTTAGGACGTTTAAACGCAGAACTTTCGACGGGCTCGTGTATTCCATTGGATGAAAGATCAAAGATCGAAAGATTATGCTGGTAGCGGCGATATACGCTGGATAATTGGTAAAGCCCGATATAAAAGAAAATAAATAGAAGAAAGAAAAAAGTTAGAAAAAGGGTTTGGATGTAAATTATAAAGATACAACATATATATTAATCTCATAATTTTGAAGTAAAGATTTAAGGGTCTGGGAGCTAAAGGGTTAACAAGGGAAGGATCCTAATTGTCCAATTTGGATTTTGACAGGGTTTTCTGAGGTGATAGTATACAGGTTCCTAATGATACATATGAAATATTAGGTGTAGGCACTCGATAATTTTAAACATATAAACAATTCAAGTCACGTACCTCCAAGGTGTACTATGAATGCAAGTCAAACTTATCGAAGTATAAGGTTGTTTAGCTGATAAATCAGAGGTCCTACGATCGATTCTCATTCACTGAAATATTTTTTTTATTTTATTCTGCCAACGTAATTTCGATAACTCTGACTTACATTCATAGTACCTACATCTTGAATGTTCGTAACTATAATTGTTTATATCCTTAAAATTATCGAGTGCCTATATTCAATATTTTACGTATGTCATTAAGAACCCTGTATACTATAACCCTACAAAACAAAATTGGAGTTCTTCCCTTCTAAGTTTAATCCTGGTCTCTCTTAATTTCGCTGGAAGCTGCCGCAAAACCCTGGATCGTAAATATCGTCTACCGTTTCCTCGAACAAGAGATATCTTCCAGGAAACATGAGCGCATGATAAATTTCGCAATACCACGAATCATCCCTCTTCCCTATCGTTTTTCACGTTCCAATTTTTTTCTCCTTTCGTTCAATTAGCGTGCACGTTCTTGCCGATGTCTTCGACTGGCGCAGACAAACTGTTAACGAGCATTTCGTGAGCAGATGCTCCGTGGACAAAAACAGCGAGCGCACGCGGCCACGTGACGGAGCCTGGGCTCTGGCCTGGCTGTTTCGTAACCGTCCCGCGATTAACTGAAAACTCAGACGAGTAAGAGAGTTTATCATCCGCGATAAAAGAACACGGTTGTACAAATTTCTCGTTGTATCTCCCCCGTCGTCGTTGAATGATCTCGGGGAAAGAGGCCCGACAGGATGATTTAGATGGAATTGTTCACGGGAAAATTTTCCACTATTCTTATCGGTGGAGGGGGAAGGGGGGGGGGGAAGTGTCAAGGGCCAGGGACCCGGAAGATTACGGGGCTCGGCAAATATTGGTACCGAACGGCGATTAGAAGTCATTAAGTACGCAACAAAACGGGAAAGTTCTGTTTTTTCATTGTTACCTGGTATTATGTTACTCATTCGGGACCATTGAGCGACACGTGACGGGAATATGTCGTGGTTTTGTTCCAGGAATCTTGGTCTTTACGGCTGACTGCGCGGTCCAGGCGGTTTCTTATGCTGCGTATCCACTTGAGAGCCTGTAACAAGAGTGGAATTAGTATTAGTATTTACGTACGTGATTTTATAAATTTGTCGAAAGGAATTTAGTATTATTTAATTTGGTACACTTTTCGAACAATGCGTTTTGCATCATGTTCTTCTGGGCTTTGTGTTGTTCGATATACTTAGCGTGAGATACTTTTTTTATACTTATCCATTTTAGATTTTAGTAAAAAGTAGCAGCTATGGAACGGTAAACTGCTCGATCTGGCAACCGCAGGAATTAAGTCCATAATTAATTATTGGGCCCACGATTTAATACGTACACTAACATATCATTACAGTCAACGAAAAAGTATATATACTTCAATTAAAAAAAATAGTACTGGCATTAACATCGAGAAACATGTTTACAAAAGAAAACGTCCCATTTGCCCCTTGTAACAATTGATTTTTCATTACCATAAATTATTACAACATCGTCGCAAGAAACATTTACGTGGCCCGTTTCCGATGGACCATCCTGTACACCTAGTTTCCTACAACAATTGCGGTGCGCGTGACTTATCCGCGAGCCCGTCCGCCGAATCGATTAACGATCCATGCGTGGACGCGACCACGTGCTCCACGGATTCACGGAAGCCGGTTCGATCACGCGACCAGGCCAGTCACAAGACGAACAATTGACGGAGCCGCGAATTTAATCGACCCCCCTCCATCACCCTCCAACCGCCCCCCCCCAATCCCTCCGCCAACCCTTCCTTTTTCCCGGCGAACGGGTCAGATCGTTTATTGTGATTCATTGCCCGCGGGTGCCGACGAGCGCGTACAAATTTATTCGAGACGCGTGATCCTGATCAGCCGGACTGGCCAATGAAATTTTTATCTGTTTCAACCCCCTACCCCATTCCCAACCCCTCCAATCTAGTGACATATCGCGACGGAAGCTATTTTTTCTGACGTTTATGCGAATTTATTCGGAAAACTGATGATTTTGTATTTTGTTTTTATCATTGTTCGTTACTCGGTCGAGTTTGAGGATGGCGGTGACTGTTTCGTTTCCACGTGACAATTTGACGAGTCCATTTTTGTCCTTCCCTCCCATTTGTGCGCTGAATACGTTTATTTGTATATTTGTTTGGTGTGTACGTGTTGTTGTGAGAATGATACGTGTCCTTGTTACGGTTGTCGTAGCTGCTTTGAATATAAAAGAAAGATGGAGGACGCGAAGAATGTGAAAAGAAAGAATGGGTTGTGTTAAAGATAGAATGTACGCGGAGTGAGGGCAAAGAGCGAGGTACAGTATATTGTATAATCGCTTTATTATACATATATATTTATGTATATGTATATACTACGTTGATAAGTATTTCACTTAACATTCAGGAAACGGTTAATATTGTTTATTGTGAGTTTTATCAACGGAAATTCTCGACGAACGATCCGAGGAATGGGCTCTTTTATTTAGATTTATTTAGAAAGTAGATCCTAAACAGAAATATTTTATTTAGAAATTAGATCCTAAACAGAAAGATTTTATTTAGAAATTACATCCTAAACAGAAAGATTTTATTTAGAAATTAGGTCCTAAACATTTTTCTTGTACGTTTAGAAGAAGAACGAATGTATGAATGTTTCTGAAGCCAACGTGATTATCTCCACTTCTTTATCTTGTTTTTAATTTGTTCATTTTATGTATTATGCATGTGTCGATATACGGACATCGTAAATAATTTACAATGCTAGATTAAGGAATTCATATATTTCTGGTGAAATTGAAAACAGCAATGTCCGCAGAATCAACGACCTTCTGTAATTATTGTTTTGATGGAGGCAATTAGTTTAGTTTTCTGAAAAGCTGCGTCGATTCTTTTGTTCCATATCTTGAGGTCAAATTGTACGCGTGAGGCGAATTTACCCTCGGGTGAACACCGTGTACACAATACAGACGGTCAGGTAGACATTCGTAGATTGCAAACAGAGGATTGGCTATCACCGACCAATAGACTTAATGCAATGAGTTATTCTAGACTATCTCTGCTTAAATGACCTCTTCCAAGTATTAGTTTACGGTCGGATCTTGTACGGTGAAGTGTGTCCTTCGTAAACTCGGTGCGTCTGTGTTTTCGCCCTTCAAAATTTAGTACAAATTTTCCTAATAATACGAGAACGTTACCAAAAAACGAAACGAAATCAAGTTTAATTCGTTGCCTTTTGGCGGTTCAGTGCGAATGTACGAAGCAATTTATACTCGATACGGTGAAAAATTTTCGGTTCGTCGAGCACAGAATTGTTTCCATCCGCCTTCTATCCGTTACTGGATTGTTCCAAATTTTCGATATCCGTAAAACTTGGGGAGAATTTTTTTCAGTTTCCATCGAAGATCGACGAATTTTCGGTGAAATCTTTCAGTGTCTTTTCCGTCGCGATCGATGCTTCCGTGAGTACGGAACACGGGGTGGTCTGTGGTTACCGATAAGCTCGACTTCATCTTCCTCCTACCGTATACACGTCGACGACCTGCGACGAGGTTTCTACTTCGATGAAGTCGAGGTGACACGGCCGGAACTAGTGAAGTGAACGGGGCGAAAGGTCAGCGAAAAACGAGGCATACGGGACTTTGAGGTACAGTGACCAACAAATATTTTTAGACAAACACATTTTTTGCTGATATTACTTGAAATTACCGGTAACTAAACATTACTGTTCTCGGAGACGATTTGTTAATTTTTAATATAATGAAATTCTTCAGGGTACAAGAATAGGAACTTTACTATATATGTGTAAATGCTTAAACACATCTATATTATTTTAGCTTATAATTAATGTACTGTAGAATATTAATCAGTAATTGCATGAAGACTTAGAAGTTTTTTCTTCATATATTAATCAGTACTTGTATAAAGAATAATTCTTCTTATCTTCTTCGTTTCCTATATTAGTTTTACAAAGAAATTTTTTTAGAAGAATCCATTCACCTTTCACGTGTTTTAACACTAGGACTACCAAGCAAGTCAAAATGACATGCCAATACAATCTTGCAACTATGATTAAAATGTCATAACAATATATTTCCTCAGATCTTTTCTAACATTTATTACGATACGACATTAAAGAAATTAGTTAATTTATAAATTTGTAAATTTTTAAAAGTTGGCCACATTTACCGATCGATCAAAAAATATATGCGTTTATCGTTGGTAGTTCTAGTGTTAATAAAAGTTTTGCCATTTACGATATCCTTGACAAACAACTGTTGCATAGGCCAACCAACCCTAACATGGGAGCTGGTTGTCACATTACTCTAATTAACACCAAGCCACCAGGTATCTACACTAACATTGCAACGTAATATTTATTTTTAAATCACAAACACCTATTTTGTCTCTTACTATGAAGAAAAATTTTAAGTACTTAATAATTAGAGGGAAAAGAAATTGCCAATTAAGAAACGTGATGGTCTCCCTTGCTCTGTAGGTAGAACTCGAGTCGAACAAGCAACAAATGTCGTGAATTTATCGTGAATCTGTCGAAACAACGCTGTACAGCTGCAACGTTTCACCTTTTAAACATTCCATATTTTTTCGCTGTCACGGTTGGCCAAACGTTGCGGTCCCGCCGCGCGCACAGCGTCCGCTTGTAAATTTAATTGAAGCTTTCCGCGGACGTCGGTTTTTAAATCGTCCTCCGTACACGTCGCGGAAAAATATAAAATTCCGTCCGTCCCATTGGCCGGCGGGCTTTCACAGTATGTAACTCGATCTCGCCGAATATATCGGAAAGTTTCATCTCGGAAAATACTCAGAGGGGTGAGGGGCATATAGAGGGGGTGTGGTCGTTGCATTGAAAATATAATGTTACGTAACGGATTCACCCAACGAAGGTTGCTTTCGTTCCGGATGGATAGTCGAAGTTTATCACTGAATCATGCGCCTCGAACGAATTCCGTTTTCTCGATTAATCCGTAATATTTCACGAGGCTACGTATGTTTTTATTCTTTTAACGGCATCAACGCTGTCGATCGAAATTCTGAAATGTTTCGCTCGACCGAAATTTTTTAATGGATTATCAATTTCCATTTATAGTGGACGATTTAAAGGGTTGAAAGGACTTTTTCGGTTTGTATTTCACTGTATTCCCCGATAGTTTGTTGTTCTCTTCTTTCATTTATATTGTCAATTAATGTTTTGGTTGTGCTACAGTAATGTCTCGATGAGTGTGACATACTGCAAGGTGGAAAAGGTTTTCAGTCCCTCCTAAATTTCCTTTTTTTACCCGAAGTCTAGCCTCTGTTTACTCTGTTTTGATTGGTTCCACAGGGGGACTTTCCCAATGATGGGAAAAACGTCATTCCTCGTGTTGCATTCATCGAGGAATCACTGTATTTGTTGGACGATAGAAAAAAACAGACTTCGAGACTTGTCTTTACTTCCAATAGGTTTTCGCGGATTTAACGAACGTCGATGATTCGATGATTTGCGAAGTTTCCTCGTCGCGGTTCCCACCGACAAGATACACGTCTGACGAGCCTCGGCTCTCCGCGATCTTGAGGAAAAATCATTTCACGTGACGCACGGGGCCCCGATAACGGTGTTTGTAATTGGCTCGCGGTGATTAACGATAAAGCGTGCCGAGCACTTCGAGGCTTCGTACGCTGATTGTATGCATATTGCATGAGGTTCGGCCTTTTTGTTTTTTAACATTCGCCTGCCACGGTCCCGGCGAATGCCTCCGGTGTATATACGCGCATAATCAAAGAGCTTTTACGTGACAGAATCGATGTGTAACGAGAATTATTTTCGTGATCCTTGGAGGGGGGAGGACACTTTGCATTATCATGTTGGATGGCTGCGGGATCGATACACTTTGCAAAATGTGAATGGATCTTGAAGGTGTGCTCGAGATCTGGGTAATT